CCATCCCACTCCTTGGAATATACCCAAATGGAATTAAAGGGGTGAAAAAAGCCATTTGCACCTCAATATTTGTTGCAGCTCAATTCACAATAGCTAAGACATGGAATCAACCTAAATGCCCATCAACGGATGACTGGATAAAGAAACTATGGGATACGTAGTCTATGGAACACTATACAGCAGTAAAAAACAACGAAATCCGGGCATTCACAACAAAATGGAGGAAGCTGGAAAACATCATGCTGAGTGAAATAAGCCAGTCCAAAAGGGATAAATATCACATGTTCTCCCTGATTGATGGCAACTAAACGAGCACCTAAAATGATACCCATTGAAATGAAATGGACACTATGAGAGACAATGACATGAGCAGCCCTTGTCTAGACTGTTGAGGAAAAACTTACTATTTTGTTCCTTTAGTATTTTTGTTGTTGTTGTTGTTGCTCGGTATGCTCTACACAAGACCACTGGTTGAACTCTGCAATCAATGCACAACCATTCTTAAGCATTTAAAAATTAATAGGAAATTGATCTCTGTGGAACATGGGAGTAGGAATAAGAGAGGGAGGAGATATATAGGACGGCACATACTCACTCAGACCTACCTCCAATGGTGGAACTGGAAATGTGCCAGGGGATTTCAACTCAATCTTACCAAGGAGGCAGGTACCAATGCCAGCACACTTGGTAAAGAGACAAATATAAATACACAACTGATCCAAAAGATAGGGTAAGTGTCGAAGAGATTACACAAATAAGACCAGTGTAAGCAAATAATGAAAGATAGAATCAAAAGGGTTGAGAATGATCCTGTGGGGGAAGCAGGTCACACAGCAGACTCATAGAATGGCAAACACCCCAGACAGCACTCCGGCCTCAGAATCAACCCTTGGGACATTCGGATCTGACTAAAAGGTCCATGAGAGTCTCGCAGGCATGGAAAGCCATGACACGGTGGCAAAAAAAAACAATCTAAATGAAGGATCCTGGTGAACAACACCCCAGCAGAAGGATCAGGCCATCAAGGAGAGAGGTGCCTTTCTCTGAAGGGAGGAAGGAACCTCCACTGTGATATGGCCTTGACTAAACAAATTCAGAGTTGGTGAACTCAAGGGGCTTCCATAGCCTCAACAGCTCATAGCAAGAGTCTTGGATGATTGCTGACATCATGAATAAGAGTGCCAATTGTTAAATCAACAACGGGAGTCACTGGGTTCATGCTCCCCACGCAGGATCTCTGTCCTTAATATGTTTACCTATGAAACTCAAAAACAATACTACTAGTCGAACAATACCCTATACCTGGTTCGGTTGTGTGAGTGCAACCTGTTGAAATCCCTGCTTAGTATATACTAAATTGATCTTCGGTATATGAAGGTAACTGAAAATGAAACGTGATGAAGGGTGGGATGGGAGAGGAAGCGGGTGAGGGGAGGGCCACGGGAGGGAGGGAGGTCGGGGGGAAGCCACAACAATACAAAAGATGCATTTTATATTCTACTTAAAACTATTGGTTGAGCTCTGTAATTAATACACAATTACTCTTAGGTGTTTAATCAATGCTATAACTGGTACTCAAATAGTATTTTACACTTTGTGTTTCTGTGTGGGAGCAAAATGTGGAAATCTTTACTTAACATACGCTAAATTGATCTTCTGTATATAAAGATAATTGAAAATTAATCGTGATGTGAAGGGGAAGGGGAGAGGGAGTGGGAGAGGGGAGCGTTGTGGATGGGAGGGAAGACACGGTGGGGGGGGAGGAGGCTATTGTGGTCCATAAGCTGTACTTTGGAAATTTATGCTCATTAAATAAATTAAAAATAAATAAATAAATAAAAATAAAAAATGAAAAAAAGAATAATAGTCAAAAGTTTTCACTCATTTTCTGAGCTGTGATGATTAAGATAATTGTGATATCATTATTATGACTATGTGCATTATAAATGGAGGCTGCTTTGTGAAAAAAATAGGGAGACTTCTGCCTGAGAATTCTGATCTGATAGCTGTCAATGACTGTTTTTATGGATGGCTTAAATTGATGTAATTCTCTCATCATAAAAAAGTTTTATAATCTGGTTTTGCAAATACAATTACATATATATTTCCTATAGGCATAACTAATGCTGCTCCAACTTTACCTCCCACTTATCTTCATCTGCAAAGTCATTAAAAGTAACTCCCTTTTAGAAGTGTTCTATTGAGGCCAGCATAGCAGGTTAACCTGCCATCTGCAGTGCCAGCATCCCATATGGATCCCTGCTGCTCCACTTTTAATCCAGCTCCTAATGTGCTAATGTGCCTGGGAAAGCAGCAGCAGATGGCTCATGTCCTTAAGTTACTGACTCCTGGCTTTGGCCTGGCCCAGCCCTGGTTGATCTCTGTCTCTCTTCTAAACTCTTTTAAATAAATAAATAAATATTTTTAAATTAAAATTGTGCTATTTAATGCTATATATATATGCATACATATTACATATATATATATATATTTAGCATATGGTATAAAAAGCATTAATCAGAGTCAGAAGAACCTGCCTCTAGCCTGGCTTTGCTCTTGACCAGTTCTGCAATGTGGGCATGTTATCCCTCAGACTGTTTCCTTAGCTATAATATGATGGTTTCACCTAAATCTCTCTTATAGCACTCTCTTAGCATTCTTTTGGGTAGCAAGTATTATGGTGACTTTTGGAAATCATGGTTTGTGTCCTCAAGCAAGTAGAAATATGCCTAGACTTGAAAGTCCAATTTGAATGTTATTTCTTTATATTTTAGCCTATTACTCTGAGGCACAGGTTATACCATACAAAGTTTTTAAAAGTTCATTTACTTTCAACTTTATCTTGTTACCTAGAAAACAGCAGTATTATCCCCTACCTTGTTCCTTCTACAAAGACTTACTTTTTACAGTTGTTATGCCATTAAATTCCTTCATTTGGAAGATGTAGTAATCCAACTAAAAATAAATTCAAATTATTTCTACTGGGAAATTAAATGATTTGCCATCTTCCTACCTAAAAAACTATAACTGTGTATCACTGAGGGTTATTTATGTGATTTCTGCTTTCTTTGCATGCTGTTTAAGCTGTGAAAGGTGACATAATGAAGTGGTTATGAACTCTGATAATGGAGTAAGGCTACCAGAGCTAAAAATCCCATGTGGGACTTGAAAATTTACTGTATCTTGCTAAATTTCAGTTTCCATACACTTAAAATGAGAAAAGCAATAGTATTCATCTTAGAGTTGTATGGATAAATACAGTTATCTGCTTAAGAGAATGCCACCCATACTCAAAGTGATCTACAGACTGAATGTAATTCCTATCAGAATCCCATTGACCTTCTTGTAGAAATAGAAAAACCCATACCAAAATCCACATGTTGTTGCCAGGGGACCACCAGATACCCCAAATAGTCTTGAAAAAGAACTAAGTTGGAGGCTACATACTTACTAATTGCACACTTTTCTTCTGTGGTAGGCATTTGGTTTAGTGGGTAAGATGCCACTTAAGATGCCAGCATCCCCTATCAGAGTTCCTGGCTTTAATCCCAGCTCTGTTCCTGATTCCAGTTTCCTGCTAACACAGATATTGGGAGGCAGTGGTGATGGCTCAAGTGATTTGGTTCCTGCCACCTACGCAGCACGTGGAGACCTGGATTGAGTCCAGCTACTGGCTTTAACACTAGCCAGGAACCGCTGAAGCATTTGGGGAGTGTTCCCACCCGCTTGGGCTTTCTCTGCGCATGTGCTCGCTCGCTCTCTCTCTCACACACACACACACACCAACAAATAAAAATTTTAAAACTTTCTACAAAGCTCAAACAATGAAACACTGGCATACAGATGAAGGGATGGGATGGGATGGGATGGGATGGGATGGGATGGGATGGGATGGGATGGGATGGAATGAAATGGCATGGCATGGCATGGCATGGCATGGCATGGCCAGAAGTAAATCCTTGGGTATTTTGTTTTAGATTTATTTATTTGAAATTCAGAGTTACACACAGAGAGAAGGAAAAGCAGAGAGAGCAGAGAGAGAGAGAGAGAGAAAGTCTTCCACCCGCTGGTTCACTCCCCAATTGGCCACAATGGCCGGAGCTGTGCCAATCCAAAGCCAGGAGCCAGGAGCTTCTTCTGAGTCTCCCACGCGGGTTCAGGGGCCCAAGAACTTGAACCATCTTCTTACTGCTTCCCCGGGCCATAGCAGAGAGCTGGATCAGAAGTGGAGCAGCCAGGACTCAAACTGGCACTGCAGGCAATAGCTTTATCTGCTATGCCACAGCACTGGCCCCAATCCTTGGGTATTTTGACCAAATGATAACTGTTAAGCGTACCAAGATCAGACTAGAAAAAAAGATAGTTTCTGCAACCAGTGATGTCAGGAAAACTGAATATCCATGTACAGAAAAATTAGGATGGACTCTTTCCTTATTATCACATCATAAATTTAATTCAAAATGGATAAAAGACCATTTTGAGTTAAGTGTAGAACACTTAGAAGAAAACATAGGAGGAAGGCTTCAAAAATCAGGTGTGGCAGTGCTACAAGGATACTTCAAAAATGTTCATGGAAAAACGGAATTAAAGATGTTTATTTGGGTGCTAACAAATTTTAAAATCCAAGGTACTCATTTTCCAAAAAAAATTTTGAAGACCCTTCATACTTTTTTTCTTAAGTAAAATCAAGATTAATTCATAACTTAGTCTGATATTTAGATAGCCTGCTGACTACTTATCCATTCGAATATAGCAAAATTATTAAATTATGTCATAAAATTAGAGAAATTTTCATTAGAAATAAATTAAATACCAGAATTAGGGTGGACACAGCAATATTCATAAAGATAGCACAGTCTTAGGAAACATTTCTTAAAATCTGGAAAGTAAGTTTAGTATTATAAAATCCTTTCTCTGTACATTCCTATTTATGTGTGTGAGTGTGCGTGTGTGCGTGTGTGTGTCCCTACTTTTTGGTTAGGTGGCAACACAAAAGAAAATAACTTCTGAATTTTTATTACAACAATATTTCAATTTTGTGGGAACATGCTAAAGGAACAATGAAGAAATTAACATAGTCTCAATAAATTAAGCACAAAAAACAATCCAGATATGAAAATGGCTCCCCAGATAAAGAAATGTAGGTATGTTCTCATGTCTCCTGCATAAAAAAGCTGTTTAAATAAAATTTTATCAGAAGTTACAGTTGGGATAAAAATTTCACCTGACTTGAAAGTAGGCTTCTTGAATTATAAGAAAGTACTCTTGCACAGCATATTACAGTGCTACTGACAGTGTTTATAAATAGCATGAAAAAGTGACTCTTTACCAAAGCAAGTACTTATAGAAGTAGGCAGTTATTTATATAAAGACTGTATAACTTAATACCCTGGAATATTTACAGAATTACAGAATTCTACAAAAAACCTTTAGCCACATTTTTAAAGAATATTCATATGAAGAAACATTTTGGGATAAAGTGGCACAGTAATTACTTACCTGTTTCTTATGCAGAACCAACTAAACAGCAGCAATTCCTTTGATAAATTTTCAGGATCAAAATTTAATATATTACTAACTCTCAATGCAAAAGACATTTCCTGAAAACTTGACATTTTATAATAATGTAGTCATCTCACTCTGAAAACTTAAGAATGGGTCTGTGGCATTCTTTATCTAAAATTAAAAAGCGAAACATGAAAAAAAAAGTTTAAAGACATCTAGTTCACATCCTTGTTTTTAAAAACAAACAGAACATTATAGGCTTCTGAAAAGATTATATTTTTTTAAGATTATATTTTAAATACTAAAATTTTGGTACAAAAATCTAAAATCAAGCATACTGTACTATATACTACTTCTCACATGAAAGTAGAATGGAAGATCTCTTACTTTCATATAAAAATCCTTGAGAAGTCTTTACAAATTAAATAAAAATTATATTCAGCCTTCTTCAAAATATTTATGAGAAACCTTTTTAAAATATAAAACACTGTCATTTTTAGATGATTTCTGCATGTAGCAACTACTAAAATGCTTTAAAAATAACAAATGTGAAATGCATTTATTCCCTTTCCTTCCTTTCAAACATATCAGAAGTCTTAAGTACAAATTTTAAAAAAATCGACCACTGAAAATAAACTACTTTCTTTTTTTGTCAAAATACCAAATATTTTAGATTTGATAAATCAACACACAAAAAGACCCTACCATATTTTATTTTATGTATGGCATCTAAAATGGAGTAGAAATAAAACAGATGATGACAAAAAAACAATCCTTTAACTGAAAATATGTATACTCTCATTTTCTTAAAGATATACATTATAAATACTCTACTGGAATTCTGAAATAAAATAAGCATTCTTTTTCACCAATTTACTTACTTTATCTCTTGTGTATAAGACTCCCTAACACAAGGAATTATCTTCTGTGACTTGCAATAGAGAACTATGAAACCCCTCAAATAGACAGTGTTTAGAAAAAATATTTCTAACCCATTATGTATCCTAATAAGCGTATACAATTTAAAAAGTTTTATGGCTTATGCTTAAATTTAATGCATGACCACAGGTTCCGGGGGACTGAAGAAACTTATTGGCAGTCAACAGCTCCAAAGGATGACACTATTCCTGGCATTCTTAATTTCAAACTTTTAAAAGAAAAGTGTTCATTGTAGTCTTAAAAATATTTGACGCCGGCGCCGCGGCTCAATAGGCTAATCCTCCACCTTGTGGCGCCGGCACACCGGGTTCTAGTCCCGGTCAGGGCGCTGGATTCTGTCCCAGTTGCCCCCCTTCCAGGCCAGCTCTCTGCTGTGGCCCGGGAGTGCAGTGCAGGATGGCCCAAGTCCTTGGGCCCTGCACCCGCATGGGAGACCAGGAGAAGCACCTGGCTCCTGGCTTTGGATCAGTGCAATGCGTCAGCCGCAGTGCGCTGGCCGCGGCGGCCATTGGAGGGTGAACCAAATACAAGGGAAACAAATAAGAAAATAGATTGTGTTGTGTCTTTGTAAGCTTGTTCCAATTCAAAATGTATTGTTTAGGGTAAGGAAAATTTCCTATACAAATACATCTAGACATTTGTTCCCTTTGCTTTGAAAAATATTTACAGTACATGAAACTACAAGCTGAAAGTATACACCTGCTTATACTGCTGGCCAGTGATATAAATGAAGAAGGACACCAAGGTGCTTACTCAGTTATCTGAGAATCATACTTTCTGTTTATGGTGAAGTTATTGTAGATCAACTATGGAAAAATTAAAAACCATTATGAATGAACACCAGCCCTTGTGTAAAACATCACACAAGATGACAAAGTATAATACATTAACAGTGGCAAAAACTGTACATATATATTCTGTGCATCTTGAACAATTCAAAATTTACATTATGTTTCTCATTTCTCAAAAAGCTGAGTTGGAAAAGTCTTTTTTTTCCTTTGCAAGAGAAGAGTGATGTTGACTGATAAGGTTCATGAAACTTGTTACAAAATTTCTTGTTCAAGAGTTTTCATTATTGTCTTCTACTTGTCGCCTTCATTAAGAAAAACTATTAAACTTTGAAACTTTTGAGCTGATATTTTCACATTTTTGCTGACTAGCATCATGATTTATGAAATATATGTAATAATAGTCCACAGCAATGTGAAATACAAAATTTTGATTTGTAAGTCTACTTTGGTCTCAGAGTGAAGATCATTTCTTTCATTCAGTCATGTTGTCCCTTATTTGATCCACTCGAAGAGCTAGGTCCCTAAAAGATGGACGATGATTTACGTTATTGTTCCAGCATTCTGTCATAATCATATAAATCTGTGAAAGAGAAAATAAAACAAAATTACAATGAGTGCAAAGTGCCATTTGGTAAAAGACATGAATTTGGAGCTCCTGCTTACTTTTCATATACTATGATATACATCATAGCTATGCCTTGATCTACAGTCATCTATTTATGCTCTTAATCTAAAAGCTCAGCAAACTAAATTCCAGAAAGTGACCTGAAATATTTTAATAAAATGAAAAAGAAATTCATAACTGGATAAAAAATAATTTTTATTACCTCATCTGGACATCCATCTGGTCTTGGTAATCTCCCATTATTCTTCAAGAGTTCTATTAAATGGAACACAATCATCTGTCCTTGTTTGTCATTGCCAATCATGCGCATAAATTCCTGAAGCACAAACCCACTTTTTAGTTAAGATTTTTTTCTGTATATTTAATCTGAAGCAGAATCCTTTCTCAACTTCTTTCCACTGAATGTATATTCACTGTATATATATAATATATATTACATGTGTTATATACAGTGTATATATATTTTTGTATGTTTTGGTACCTTTCAAAAACAGGCTATTTTAATCCAAAACTTCCTTTGAATCACATTTCAGAAAAGACTGTTAAATGTGGAACTTCTATAATCTATCTCCATAACTGTAACATAACATACTCAACATGTAACATATAGCATTCTCAACACAAATTCCCTGATAAGGGCCCACATGAATAAAAAATGTATTCACATTGGGTACTGTTGTTGTTTCAATACATTGTATTATATTTCAAGGCCAGTGCTGTGGTGCAGCAGGTGAGACTGTCACCTGCATGCCAGCATCTCATAACTGCTGGTTCAAATCCTGGCTGCTCTATTTCCTGTCCAGCATTCCTGCTAATACATCCTGGATGAAGCAGATGATGGCTCAAGTGGTTGGGCCCCTACTACGCATGTGGGAAACCCAGGGTGGAGTTCCTGGCTCCTGGCTTCAGCCTGGCCCAGCCTTGGCTATTGCAGCCAACTGGGCAGTGCACCAGTAGATGGAGGATTTTATCTCTGTTTATTCCCTCCCTCTCTGTATCTCTGCCTTTCAAATAAATAAATGTTTTTTTAAAAAAAAAAAAAATTGAATGTAAAAAGGATATAAGAAATTAAAATATATAATATTTAAGTGTAACTTTAATAGAGAAAAACTGCATGTCAAGTATTCATAAATTAAAGACTGAATTACAGCCAGAAAATATTTAAAGCAAACATACACTTTTTCTATATTAAATAAAGAGAGCTCTTAAAAAGTAAATTTAAAAATAAGCAATATAAAAACAGGCAAAGAGAGCCAATGTTGTGGCATAGTGGTTAAAGCCACCACCTGCAAGGCCTGCATCCCATATGGGAAAAGCAGCAGAAGATGGCCCAAGTGTTTGTGGAGGACCCAGATGAAGCTCTGCATTCCTGTCTTGCAGCTATCTGGGGAGTGAACCAGTGGAAGACCTCTCTTTCTCACGTCTTTTCCTCTTTCAAACTAAATAAATAAATCTTTGGAAAAAAAAAAAGAATACAAGACACCAAAGAGACAATTATCATACAAAACATACACACCTCAAACATTCAACATATGCACAACTAACCACACTATTAAGAGAAATGCAAATTAAAATAAGATACAACTTCTATCAATTTAGCAAAACTGCATAAAATATAATGGCTAACAATGGGAAATGATGAAATGTACACCCCTTTGTACTGCTACTGAGATGCAATCTAATACAGCTTTTCTGGACAGCATTTTAAAGTAATCAAAAATCTTTAATATAATTCAAAGTCTTTCATCTATAATATTTTAAGATATTAGAGGTAAATATTTATGTAAATGAATATTTACTATGTTCATTGAAGTGTTGTTTAAAATATTGAAAAATGGAAAATAATTGTCCAGAAATATACATTCTTATGATAGAATGTTACTTAGCAATTAGAAATCATATTTGCAGTAAATACTTATTAATATAGCAAACAATCCATGCTGTAAATACTTAATGAAACAAGTCAGCATACAGTTCAGTACAATTTAAACTTTCTAAGATAAATATTTCTTTATAAAATTTCACTTTTATTTATTAAATAAAAAGAAACCTGGAAGAAAACATACCAGATTATTAACGTGATTATCTCTGAGTAAATGCATTAGAGTTGATTTTTTATATTATTTCTCATATTACAAATTTTTATAATAAACAAGAAAATATTACTTTAAAAGGCTTATGTTAAATATGCAATAATTGCTAGAATGAATGAGCTTACTGGATTGACTAAAAATAATATTAAGAAACTATAATAAAAAAAACAGTGCTCTAACCTCCATTTTAAATTTCTAAGATAATAGGTATAGGGTTATTGCTAAATATTGTCTTACAAGTAAGTAATGATGTTATTAGACTTTGGTAAAGCCTTTCTCTAAATAAATAAATAAATAAAGTAATACAAAGCACACTGACCGCTGGTGGACTTTTACTCTTTTCAATATACGTGAAAAGTTCGTACAGAACCACTCCAAAGCTCCAAACATCTGAAGCAACAGAAAACTTACTCTCTGTCAGTGATTCTGGAGCATACCTGAAATAGATAGAAAGTACTTAAAAAAAAAGTTACTTGGTCTGCCAAATCTTGATTTTACCTGCAAATCATTGTATTAAACACACACACACACACACCCAGCTAGGTAGGCCTTTGGCTCAATGGTTGAGATGCCTGATTGGAATGCCTTATGTCCCCTATCAGAGGGCCTGGATTGAGTTCCAGCTCTATTCTCTATTCTAACTTCCTGGCAATGTGCACCCTGGGAGGCAGCAGCAACGACTCAAGCAGTTGGGTCCCCTGCCACCTGTGTAGGGGCCCTGGACTGAGTTCCCAGCTCCTGCCTTCAAGTAAGTCCAGTCCTGGCTACTGTTGGTATTTGGGGGAGCGAACCAGCACATGGGAGCTTTTTATATCTATCTTTTTGTGTCTTTCTTCCCCTCTCTCCCCAACTTGTGTGTATGTGCTTCTCAAATAAATAAATATTTTAAAAACAGGGTGGTGCACAGGAAAGAGTTAACATAGCAGGCTTGTGGCTACCGTTCTCAGAAAGGTCTCTTTGCAATGTTGATTCTTGGCTGATATCTGGGAACTTGTATTTCAGGAGTGTTTCCACAATTCCCTAAATGATGAGTAGCTCAATGTGCCTAAGTTGTGCAAACAACATGGTTATCCTAATATCATTTTTCCTTCTAATAGTCTGGAATTTTTGCACATGCCAGGCAAATCGACTGTATCAACACAATCAACCCCAATAAAAATCCTAGGCAATGAGTTTCTAATGAGTTTCCCTAGTAGATAGTATTTCACACATGTTTCAATTCATTACTGGGGAATTAAACTGTGCCCTATATGACTTCAGTAGGATAGGATCCTTGAAAACTTGTGTTTGGTTTCCTCCAGTCTTTGCCTCATGCACCATTTTACCCATGGCCAATTTTACTTTGTATTCTTTCCCTGTAATGAATCATAGCCAGGATGTAATGACTATAAATTACTGTTCTTCATAAATTTTCTGGTCAGTGGGATTTTGTTATATCAGCACAGATGGAATAGGACAGTGTTCATTTTTCAGTATGTTAGCTAAAACCTGTTTTATCAACCCACATTCCATATTTACCCCAAGTGTAGGCAACCTCATTTCATTATATGAAACATCTAATATTTACAACTTGCTAATATAAAAATAAAACAATATGTCAACTGCTTCTGTGGTCATTTTTTAGCCATAAATATATGCTTCAGTTTCACTAAATATGTAAGAAAATTTTGATCATTATGAAAATAAGGGCTTTTTTCTGATTTTTAAACAAGTTTATTTAACTGTTCCCCAAAATCACAGAATTCACTACATACCTCTTTCCAATCTATTTACACGTTGGCCTTTTTTTAAAAAAATTTTTATTTATTTATTTTTTGACAGGCAGAGTGGACAGTGAGAGAGAGAGACAGAGAAAGGTCTTCCATTTGCCGTTGGTTCACCCTCCAATGGCCGCCGCGCTGCAGCTGGCGCACCGCGCTGATCCGATGGCAGGAGCCAGGTACTTATCCTGGTCTCCCATGGGGTGCAGGGCCCAAGCACTTGGGCCATCCTCCACTGCCCTCCCTGGCCATAGCAGAGAGCTGGCCTGGAAAAGGGGCAACTGGGACAGAATCCGGCACCCCGACCGGGACTAGAACCTGGTGTGCCGGCGCCGCAAGGTGGAGGATTAGCCTATTGAGCCGCGGCACCAGCCTACACATTGGCCTTTTACCAAATACCTTACTTCGTAAGTTATAATCTCAGCTGCGTTTTACTCCATATTGCTTATCACAAATGAGAAGTGATCTATTATATTTTCATAAACTAATGAAATATTAATTATATGAAATATATATCTTAAACATCATAGCTGCTCTCATTTATCTTTTCAGATATTTGGGCAGACATATATATTCCAAAGCTCAGATAATTTGGAGGCCTGCTTTATGACAAAGAATACAAAATTAGGCATGAAAGTGAATATTTAAGATTACAAAAGGAAGGTCCTTAGAAACAAAGAGTTTCAATGGTTTCATAATAAACATGCTTCAGTGCATGTGTTCTGCCATTTGCTTCTTAGTCCTAAAAAACATATAACAGTTAGGGACCAGCGCTGTGGCGTAGTGGGTAAAGCCGCCGCCTGCAGTGTCAGCATCCATATAGGCGCCAGATGGAGTCCTGGCTCCTCCATTTCCAATCCAGCTCTCTGCTATGGCTTGGGAAAGCAGCAGAAGATGGCCCAAGTCCTTGAGCCCCTGCACCCGTGTGGGAGTCCTGGAAGAAGATCCTGACTCCTGGCTTAGGATTGGCGTAGCTCTGGCCATTGCGGCCAATTGGGGAGTAACCAGCGGATGGAAGACCTCTCTCTCTCTCTCTCTCTGCCTCTCCTCTCTCTGTGTGTAACTCTGACTTTCAAATAAATAAATAAATCTTTTAAAAAAGACATATAACATTTAATAAATTTACTTAAATTGAAAAATTAAGATTTTTCCTGCCAGAAATTAAATTTGTTTTTGATGCCTGGTATTGCCAAATGTTTTACATACATGAAGGACATTCTTCATAAAATCAACTCAAATTTTGAGGCTGTCCAAATGTCTGCTATAAATTATATCTGATTAAAGATGTTATTCAAAATGCTATGAGAAATGAACAATATTCTGTTTTTCAACTTTTAAAAACTGAATATATCAGTCTAAACAAGGTACCTCTATGTGCAAGTGTTAACAGTATAATTTGAATATAAAAGACTTTCATATACCTCCTAGAAAATGAGAAAAAGAATGACTCTAATGATTGGTTAAAAAATCCATTTTTTAAAGTCAAAATCTTTTATTTTCAATAGAATTGAAAAAGAATACATCTAATGAAATCCCAGCTAACACAATTTTTAATAATATATTACTATATACTTTTTATCTACAGATCTTGGAGTCATAAAATGAACAACACTGACATAACAGAACTCCTTCTGGTTCTACCTAATCATTTACACAAACAAGTTTTCTCAGTATTTACAACTATGAAAATGCAAAGCAAACACAGAATTTATGCTGAAAATTGTCCTATTATAGGAATAAATAATATTCATCCATGGATATATGAACTACTTTGGAGAAGGCACTCCATTCAGCTTTAAGAAATGTCTCTAATAAAAATTTTACTGATTATCCAAATATGTAATTTATTTACATTGCTTTGGAAAATGGTATCAAAATAACAACTTTAATGATAATTCAATTCAGAAGAAAAATGTTAAAATTTATGAGTTTTTAAGGTTCAGTAATTTTTAAATTAATTTCAATTTATCTACATATTTTGGTTACCAGGAAGATGGTATATTTTCCAAGTATAAAATATACCACTTTTTTGAGTGGGAAGGGAAGTGCAAATATAATTTAAGGAAAAGAACAATATAAAGACTCTCTCAAAACCACAAAGTCTATACTTTTCTAAATGAGTGACAATGAGTATCAAACTACTATAGTATTTAGATTCCACTGGATATATTTAAGATTTATATAGCTGTTATTGAACATCAATATTACTTTATAAAATAGATTTGCAACTACTTAAACTTATACAAAGAAAATTATCAATTTTTAAAAGTATGAGAGAGTATATATGTGGTTTGTCAAAAGTTTTTTAGTGGTATACTTGCATGCATACAAAAGGTCTAAAAATACATGACCTAGATTTCTGAAAAGTATCCTAATAGGTCACTTCTCTGTTCTTAGCATCTTTTTTTATTTTATATTTATTTATTTATTTATTTATTTTGACAGGCAGAGTGGATAGTGAGAGAGAGAGACAGAGAAAGGTCTTCCTTTTGCTGTTGGTTCACCTGCCAATGGCCGCTGCGGCCAGCGCACTGCGGTCAGCGCACCGCGCTGATCTGAAGCCAGGAGCCAGGTACTTATCCTGGTCTCCCATGGGGTGCAGGGCCCAAGGACTTGGGCCATCCTCCACTGCACTCCCTGGCCACAGCAGAGAGCTGGCCTGAAAGAGGGGCAACCAGGAAAGAATCCGGCGCCCCAACCGGGACTAGAACCCGGTGTGCCAGCGCCACAAGGCGGAGGATTAGCCTAGTGAGCCGTGGTGCCGGCCTGTTCTTAGCATCTTAATACAATATCCCTTCCATATCAGTAGTTCTAGTTTTTAGCCTCATGCTCCCCTATCTACTCTATTTTTTTAAAGATTTTATTTATTTATTTGACAGGTAGAGTTACAGACAGCAAGAGAGAAACAGAGAGAAAGGTCTTCCTTCCATTGGTTCACCCCCCAAACGGCCGCTACGACTGGAGCACTGCGCCGATCCAAAGCCAGGAGCCAGATGCTTCCTCCTGGTTTCCCATGCGAGTGCAGGGCCCAAGCACTTGGGCCATCCTCCACTGCCCTCCCGGGCCACAGCAGAAAGCTGGAATGGAAGAAGAGCAACAGGGACCAGAACCCGGCTCCCATATGGGATGCTGGCACTGCAGGTGGAGGATTAACCAAGTGAGCCACGGTGCCGGGCCCCCGTCTACTCTTTTAAGATGATTGAGAATGGCCGGCGCCGTGGCTCAATAGGCTAGTCCCAGTTGGGGCACCAGACTCTGTCCCAGTTCCTCTCTTCCAGGCCAGCTGTCTGCTATGGCCCGCTAGTGCAGTGGAGGATGGCCCAAGTGCTTGGGCCCTGCACGCCATGGGAGACCAGGAGAAGCACCTGGCTTCTGGCTTCGGATCAGCGCGGTGCACTTGCCACAGTGCGCCGGCCGCGGCGGCCATTGGAGGGTGAACCAACGGCAAAAGGAAGACCTTTCTCTCTGTCTGTCTCACTGTCCACTCTGCCTGTCAAAAATAAAAATTAAAAAAAATTAAAAAAAAAGATGATTGAGATTTAAAAAAAATACTTTCATTTATGTGGGTTATATCTACTGATAGTTACCATATTTGATATTAAAATTAAAGAAATAAAAAAGATTAATTCATTGTAAATACAACAAAGCCATTACAAAAATAACTATTTCCTGAAACAAAAAAAATAGAAGAGTCACACTGTTTTACATTTTAGTAAGTCTCTTTAATGCTTGGTTAAACATGTCTTGTAGCCTCTGGAAAATTCTTTGATACAGTCATCAAAAAATGTGAGTGAAAAGGACAAACAACACCGTAGTATTACTATAAAAATACTTTTAACCTCAATGACCCCACAAACGTTGAGAACTGCTGTTCTGTACCCAAAGAGCTATTTTTTAAAAATATTCACCCTACTATATTATTCTCCTGAATACAGCCTCTAACATGCCACCTGACACACTGTCTTCTGAACAAGCTGTAAACTCAGTGACATGGAGGACAGGGCTTATCTTAGCCCATTTGTGCTGATACAATAGAATGCTTGACATTGGTAATTGGATAATTTATAAAGAATAAGAACTTATTTTCTCAGAGTTTTTGGAGGTTGGGAAGTCCAAGATCAAGGCGTTACTTTGCTGTTTCCAAGATGGTGCATCCTCCAGAGGGAGAACACTGTGTCCTCACTTGGAAAAAGCAGATGGGCAAAAGGGGCCAAACACCTGGTGAAGTCTCTTTTCTTTTTTTTTTTCTTTTTTCACTTTTTGACAGGCAGAGTGGACAGTGAGAGAGAGAGACAGAGAGAAAGGTCTTCCTTTTGCCGTTGGTTCACCCTCCAATGGCCGCCGCGGCCGGCGCACTGCGGCCGGCGCACCAAGCTGATCCGATGGCAGGAGCCAGGTGCTTTTCCTGGTCTCCCATGGGATGCAGGGCCCAAGCACTTGGGCCATCCTCCACTGAACTCCCTGGCCACAGCAGAGAGCTGGCCTGGAAGAGGGGCAACCGGGACAGAATCCGGCGCCCCGACCAGGACTAGAACCTTGTGTGCCGGCACCGCAAGGCGGAGGATTAGCCTAGTGAGCCGCGGCACTGGCCGAAGTCTCTTTTCTAAGAGCTATAATCTCATTCAGAGGGGAGGGGCTCTAATGGTCTAATCTCTTAATAGTCCCACCTCTTATTACTACCATACTGGCAAGCCAACACCCTAATTTGAGGGAATACATTCAAACCACAGCAGGGCTCAATCTCTTTCCAGACCCAATTACTCTCTGTTTGTTCTATGTGTATGCCATTCACTTACAAGCTCCTGATATTGTTCTTGTTGGCCTCTTCAAAGAATGCCCTTTCTCTATTTATCTGGTAAACTCCTATTAATCCATCATTGAAATGTCATCTCTTAGTTGTTCTTTATTCTGACAATCTTCAGTGCTACACACTGCATTACAATGATGTAATTATACATTTGAGTTTCCCTAAATCTTGAATTCTTCCAGTGGTGGAGAACACTTTTTCTGCCAAGGGCCATCTGGATATTTAGAAAATTATTTGTGGGTCATAACAAATTATCAATTTAAAACTTAGCCTACTATAGGCCTTAGTGAATTTCAAGTGCAATTGCCTTGGCAGGGCCAGCCCAGATGATTCTGTGGACCTTATACAGCCTGTGGGCCTGGTGTTCCCAACCCCTGTAAAGGGAAGGACTTGTGATAGTGGACCTGTCAGTTGAACTTCCTGCCATATCAAACTTTTAATTCAGCCTGCCTATTAAAGGACAGTCCTTTTGTGATGCTATCCTCTGATCAGCTCCTTTTATGGTGTTTGGAGCATGATAGGTACTTAATAGCTATTCATTAAGTTGTATTGTTTGCCCAAATCACTAGATTTTCATTAATATGTCTTGTCAATTAATTCCATTTAATTTCTGTAATTTCTCATTCCAAAAAATAAAAAAGAATGAAATTCATGCATTACTGGGAATGTGACCCAAAATAGATGGTCATATTTAGATAGTCTTATTTTCTAGTTTCACTCATACCCTAAAATTACAAAGGTAATGCTAATGAGTAAAATGAGAACTTTCCTCAAAAAGTAGTCTTGATACTATAAAAAATTTCAGCCTATACAAATTAGAGAACATTGAACAACCATAACTCACCTAAGCCTATTATTCCTTTTGTTTCATATACAAGTATTTCTCCCTGTATCCACCCCACTGGATTTATATGAAGTGAATCCCAGATATGAAGTATTTCTATTATAATTATTTCAGGATGCATCTCTAAAACATAAACACTCTTCTCAAAAACACATTCATAATAGCAAATATTACTCTTCTGTGTAAACAATGAATTTGTTCTAAATCATTGGTGTTTCCTTACTGAATTTTTTTCCAGACTAACAATGTGCAATAGCTAGAATGGGCATAAAATTGACAGATACAAAATAAGATAAACACATACAGACAATCCATGAATTTAGCAATAGCACACCAAATAATCTATAAATTTCTAATAATTTTTATAAATCTCAGAATATTTTTTGTCTCCAAAATATTTACAAGTCAACAGTTATAGTATTTTATAATAGTAATTTTATTTTTCAAGTCGGCTACCAAGAACATAAATAGGGGCCGGCGTTGTGGCACAGTGGGTTAAAGCCCAGGCCTGCAGCACCGGCATCCCATAAGGGCAACAGTTTGAGTCCTGGCTGCTACACTTCTGATTCGGCTCCCTGCTAAAGCAGCAGAGAAAGCAGTAGAGGATGGCCCAAGGGCTTGGGCCCCTGCATCCACGTGGGAAACCTGCAGGAAGCTCCTGTCTCCTGGCTTTGGTCCAGCAATTGCAGCCATATGGGGAGTGAACAAGCAGATGGAGACTTCTCTCTCTCTCCGCCCCACCTCTCTGTCTTTACTTCTCCATAACTCTTTGAAATTAATTTAAAAAAAAAAAACAACAACTTTTTTTTATAAAAGAACACAAATAGGGGCCGGCACCATGGCACAGCGGGTTAAAGCCCTGGCCTGAAGCACCAGCATCCCATATGTGTGCCGGTTCTAGTTCCAGCTGCTCCTCTTCAGATCCAGCTCTCTATGGCCTGGGAAAGCAGTAGAAGATGGCCCAAGTCCTTGGGCCCCTGCACCCATGTGGGAGACCCAAAGAAGCTCCTGGCTCCTGGCTTCGGATCGGCACAGCTCTGGCCACTGTGGCCATCTGGGGAGTGAACCAGAGGATGGAAGACCTCTATCTCTGTCTCTACCTTTCTCTGTAACTCTTTCAAATAAATAAAATAAATCTAAAAAAAAAATAAAAATAAAAAAAATAAAACTACTTAACCAAAATAAAATCCTTCGTTTAATACTATTATCTGATTTAACATTATTTTCAGTGTTACTTCAGCAGATGAATAAATTAAAATTAGGGACTATCTGGAAAGTATACAAATCAAAACTTTTAAATATAATCCAACCAAGCCATCCCTAGAAAACAAAATACACTATCAATGAATCAAGGCATAAAAAAAGAAAACCTTGCATCAAAGCACAGATTAATAGAAGCAAAAAGTATACGACATAAAAAATTAGGTTTGAAGGGCCGGCACTATGGCACTGTAGGTTAAGCCTCTGCCTGTGGCAACTGGCATTCCACATGGGCACTGGTTTGAGTCCCAGCTGCTCTACTTCTGATCCAGCTCCCTGATAATGGCCCAAAAAAGCAGAAGATAACCCAAGTTCTTGGGCCCCTGTCCTCATGTGGGAGACCTGAAAGAAGCTCCTGACTTTAAATAGGTCCAGCTCCAGCCATTGCAGCCATTTGGGAAGTGAACCAGCAAATGGTAGACCTCTCTCTCTGTCTTCTCCCTCTGTTTGTAACTCTGCCTCTCAAATTAGTAAATAAATCTTTAAAAAAAGTAGGTTTGAATGCTCTCCACAATTATTTCACAATTGTAAATGATTAAAAATTAATTTTAGATATAAAATGATGTATCATATAAAAATATTCCACCAATGACTAGATCAAATGTGGTTAAGAAAGCTTAAAAACACAAACTTTAGATCAAGATCATTTGGGTTTGAACTTCAGTTCTATCATTTATTATTCATGTGACCTTAGGTAAGTTAATTAGCTTATCTATGCTTTAATTATCTCATGCTTCAAATGGAGATAATAACAGATATTCTCTAAGAGATGCTGTTAGGAGGATTAAATGAGATAATCTATGAAATACATTTAGCCCAATGTAAGCAACAAGAAATATGTACATGACAAACCATTAAACAATAATAGTAAAAATAAAGTTTGAAGTTTGTGCTCTAAAATTTCACTTTATTATATTGAAATATACTATACTCACCAGAAGATGGGACTTTCACCAGGTTCTTTCACTTTGTAATATTCTTTGTCTTGTGGTAATACTTTGGTTAACCCAAAATCTCCTATTTTAACTCTGTTCTCATTCTCTACCAATATATTTCTTGTTGCCAGATCCCTGTGGACATACCTTTTTGTACCAAGATATTCCATACCCTGCAGATAAGATAATATTTTTCTTTCAGCAGTTTTATAAACATGAACAATTTAAATGGTCTTACCCCTATTTACTCCCTTTATTATCCATGAAAAAGCCTAAGAGATTTAACAATTATTTCAACAAGTTTATTTTCATCTACAACAAATAACCAGGATATTAGGTACCTTGCATATTTGAAATGTGTACTGCAGAAGTTTTTTGTGATCTATCCTTTCTTTATGTTTCTGGAGATAGTCCCGTAAACTTCCATATGGTAAATATTCCATAATCAATCTTAGATTACGCCGGCCTTCAAACATAGAAGTGAGAAAATAATGTTTTACTTTGTCATATTTTACTTAAGAAATATTAGCTTAAGAAATATTAGAAAACCAAACATAAATGACTTAAAGATACATAAAATCTGAGTTGTAGATAACAAGATTTTATTATAAATTAAAGGTGATATAGTAGTGAAGAACACAGGCTTTCTGAATCAAAAAGCTTTTGTGTTTTAGTCTTCTAAAAATATTTGTTTAGTCTTCTATAATCTTGTAGGCAAACCAAAAGAAGCTGATAAAAAAAAGAAAACTTCCTTTCTCTTCATTTATGCTAAACAAAAGGCATCTAATTTAAAAATGTTTTATAGAAAATGTGAGCGGGCTGGCACCGCGGCTCACTAGGCTAATCCTCCACCTGTGGCGCCAGCACCCCGGGTTCTAGTCCCTGGTGGGGTGCTGGGTACTAGTCCTGGTTGTTCCTCTTCCAGTCCAGCTCTCTGCTGTGGCCCAAGAGGGCAGCAGAGGGGGGCCCAAGTGCTTGGATCCCTGCACCCGCATGGGAGACCAGGAGGAAGCACCTGGCTCCTGGCTTTGGATCGGCGCAGCACCGGCCATGACAGCCATTAGGGGAGTGAACCAACGGAAAGAAGACCCTTCTCTTTGTCTCTCTTTCACTGTCTATAACTCTCTGTCTCTCTCTCTCACTGTCTAACTCTGCCTGGCCAAAAAAGAAAAAAAAAAAAAGAAAAAGAAAAAAGAAAAAGAAAATGTGAGCAAAGATGATTCTTTTTATTCAAGTTTATTTTTTACGTATTTGAAAGGCAGACAGAGGGAGAGAGACTGAGAGACAATGAGAAAGAAAGAACACTGAAGAGCACAGAGATCAACCTTCTATTCGTTGGTTTACTCCTCAAATATCTGCAACACCCAGGCTGGGTCCGGCCATTACCAGAAGCCTAGAACTCCATCTGGGTCTCTTTTGTAAGTGGCAAGGGCCCAAAAACTTGAGCCATTATCTGCTGCCTCCCAGGGTATACATTAGCAGAAATCTGGATTAGAAGGAGAGGCAGGACTTGGACCCAGCCACTCCAATATGGCATGTGGGCATCCCAAGCAATGGATTAAGCTGCTAGGCTACAACACCTACCTCAATTTCTTGTTTTAAAACTTAATATTCTCTTGGTAAATTTAATCAAATGGTGAATACAAAGATTAACCAACTAGCCAAAGACTTCCTGTAGTCACAGCCCATGAACATCAAGCTCAATCTTTAGTCACATAGAATGCATCTCTCTCTGGGCTCTAGCATATGGCAAATCCAGAATTTCAGACATTTTATGTTTCTACAACCCAGGATGCCAAAGACATACCTTAAGTTTAATATAGGTTTCAATGGGCAACATACCAGCACTGTAGCACACTCCTTTGTACTTTACAATGTTGTCATGTTGTAAGGATTTTAGGATTTCAATTTCCCTTTCAAAGTCTCTGAGGTGCTCTTCAGTACTGTGCTGGAGCTTTTTCACAGCCACCACCTCTCCAGTGTTGTCCTGCAGAGGGTCATACCGGCACATCTCCACACTTCCAAAATTACCCTAAACAGCATGCCACATTAGGATGGAAATCTCAAGTTTTCAAGAAAAATTACTAATAAATTCCAATTATAAAGTAAATCCCAGTAGCAGGAATTAGCAGATATTAGAATTAGCAGTTGTCATGTTGTGAGGCAGTCCTGTAGAGAGGCCCATATAAAAGACCTCTTGCTAGTGAAGACTCCATGTGAGACAGCAAGGCCTGTCTGATACCTTGATCATTATCTTATAAGAGAATTTGATCTAGAATACAACTAACTTACTCCAAGATTTCTGACTCACAGAATCCTGAGATAACAAGTGTTTATTGCTTTTATTAAGTTTTAGCATGATTTGTTACATGGTAATAGATAACTAACACACCTAACTACCTGGACCTTTTTTTGCTTGTGACATTGCTATATCCATTCAAACATTCCCAAGAATATTTTATAAACAAGGTACTCCAGCAAAGTATTAATCCAAACAAGCCAATCTGTAATATAATCCCCAATGTTTAGTTCTAGTAAAGCTAGATTGGAATATTTAGCTTAATTTCAAACCCAAAATGAGACCTTTATATTGCATCCAAGCCAAAACCTAAGTCATAACATCACATTGTACAGGATCCTGTATCAGCAAACTTAGCGAAAGAAATACAGGGAGCTTACAACTATGGTTGGGACTACTGGGAACTAAGGCTTTCTTGTTCCTACAATTTGTAGGTTATACATGACTATGTGAATTTTTAAGAGAGACTCTACTACTGATCATGGGCTAATCAATGTCCTAAATTCTAAGCAATTATATTATTTCTCCCTGAGATGACTGGAAACTGAAAGGCACATAGGATGGCTCAAGTGATCCTTTCTCTACTTCACTGATCCATTTCCAATGAATTACAAATTTCCCCTAAGAGTCCCATGGTCAGCTCAATTTGGAAAACATGGCCTAATTTATCTCCTCTGAAAGTGCTCAATGCTCATTACCTGTTACAGACTCTGAGAAGTTCTTCAGTGAAAAGTTTTTATTTAACACAGTGTTTCCCAACCATCTAACAATTAAATCTTTTTTTTTCTATGAACATCCTTAAAATTCTGTAAAAAGTAGATTTTTAGAGACTCTATAGCATTTTCTCCCTCAAATAAAAAGTTGTTAAGTCTATACCCTATTTGAAAAACTTGTGATAATTACCTTGCCAAGTTGTTGCAGAAATTTCAAATGTCTTTCTTCAAACTGTGTAGGGTCCCTATCTTCAAAAGCACCAGAAAACCCTAGGGCACCTATCCTCATATTTGGTAACATGTCATTTTCCGTTAATAGTTCATAATCTGTAGAAATAAAAAATATTACTATGTTAATTTGGCTAATATATTCTGAGTTAAACTGATATACATTCAAGCCATCAAAACAGAGTATCTTAGAAATACTAAATAACATAGGAAACCTTAAATAGTTTAGTTTATATTAATGACAGCCTTTAATTATTACCCATAACCTGATAGACTTTCAGGAAAAATTCTGCACAGAATAAATGATTACTTTCTCAAATAGATTGTTTTAATATTCATAAAGTAAGGTCTTCTGATTTTTTTGGTGAGAATGGTGAGTAGTACTGAAACAGGAAATACCTATAGGTTAAACACATGCATACTGATTTCAGTATTTTAAACGAGGAGAAAAAAAAAACAAATCTACCTTATATTTATAACTTCAGTTATAAATATATGGGAACAACTTAAAACTAGTTTAAAAACAAAACAACTTGTTTTTAAAAAGTCAATTTAGCCAAATAAACACCTGTAGCCAAATAAACAGACTACTCATTAGCTGGCAAACTAAAATTAAGTTATTAAAGGAGAAAAGGGGCCAGCGCCATGGCTCAATAGGCTAATCCTCCGCCTGCGGCGCCGGCACACCGGGTTCTAGTCCCAGTCAGGGCGCCGGATTCTGTCCCAGTTGCCCCTCTTCCAGGCCAGCTCTCTGCTGTAGCCCGGGAGTACAGTGGACGCTGGCCCAAGTGCTTGGGCCCTGCACCCACATGGGAGACCAGGGGAATCACCTGGCTCCTGCCTTTGGATCAGCACGATGCGCCGGCCGCGGCGGCCATTGGAGGGTGAACCAACGGCAAAGGAAGACCTTTCTCTCTCTGTCTCTCTCTCACTGTCCACTCTGCGTGTCAAAAAAAAAAAATTTAAAAAAAGGAGAAAAGGCCCTTTTTAAAAATGAAAAGTATATCCATCAAACAGTAGAACACATAAAAAGCATGAAAAGTTCTATGAACGTATGAAATTAAGAAAGCCTAAAAGAACATCAATGATTTTCTTGGAAGGGATTATAAAATTTGTAACAATTCATTAAACACAACACAGAAAGATGGCAAGATAATCAATAAATCAATCCCTATCAATACATACCTGGAGTAAACAAACTGTTAAGATCTCGTATGATGGCTCTGAAAGAAGGCCTAAAATCTGGTTCGTAATCCATACAATTATTTATAAGGTTTGCTAATTCTGTCCACTTTGGTGCAGGAAGCTGGTGTCTATCTTCATAAAATTGTAGTTTCTATAATTAAAGAACCAAATGCTGAGAATAAAGTGGATCATGTTGTTTCAACATTCTTGTTAAAATTAGATGGGATAAAAAATATCAAATCATGTGAAAGAAAAATGAAGAATCACAAATAGAGTAAATTCTAACCTCAGAGTCTATATAAACTTACTCGTTGAGAATCCAGAGCACTCAAAGGCTTATCTCCTCCACTGCAGATTTCCCACAAAGTGGTACCAAAACTCCATTTGTCTGTTGTTAAATTTAGATTTTTAGGATTTTCAATGCATTCAGGTGGTACCCATGGTATTCTCTCCTGCAGAACTTTTAAATGATATGATCAGAGTATGGTTAAACAATCCTCAGAAGTAAAGAATTATTTTAAATGTAAATCATTTTCAAACTCATTTGAATAAGCAACTCTTTTGGGTTTGTCAGAGAGAGCCAGTATGAGCATGCCTGCACAACTTAAGAGCTGCAAGGGAGTTATGAGATCATCTACTTCAGTATCTTAGCCTTAAAAACGATAATAATTACACTTGCAAAGATTGAGTCATTTCCAAAAGTCACACAATTTATTAGCATCATGGTCAGAATCAGAAATCTTGTACAATGAATTCTAAATCAATTAAACATCTATTAATCCATAGTGTCTCAACTGGCATATCACTTTACCTCTTCCCTTGGTTCTGCCTTTGGAAAAAATTCTGTAAAATTTATTTAAAATTGCTTCTTAATTTTTTTGTATTTCTTTACAATGAATAAGTAGTAAACATAAGGCTATATCATTCAGAGTTACTTTAATGATTCAATAACAGTGGAAATTCTGGCTTGCAGATGAAAAAACAACTAACAAGTGTTTACCATTTTAACTGGTGAGTGCCTAATTTATACAAAGACACTCTACCTATGAAATTGATACAGGTAAGTTTTACTCAGCTTGTGGAACTTCCCAAATAATGTTTCTGTGTTTTTTGGACACCACCAGAAACATGATAATCAAGGAAAAAGGAAGCAATATAATCACCTTGTGGTATTCTGATGTATGTAGTGGATGAAAGATAATCTGTTGCTTCTTTTGGTTTGCTTTGGTACAACTATGTGAATATTTTTTAATCAAGAAAAGAGATTAAATAAGATACTAGTTCCTTTCTCCTACATAGAGAAATACATTTTCTTCACCTCCCATTCCAAAGAATTGTTAAATAATATTTTGTAGGGAGGCTGGCGCTGTGGCCCAGTGGGTTAAAGCCCCAGCCTACAGCGCCAGCATCCCCTGTGGGTGCCAGATCGAGTCCCGGCTGCTCCTCTTCCCATCCAGCTCTCTGCTATGGCCTGGGAAAGCAGCAGAAGATGGCCCAAGTCCTTGGGCCCCTGCACCCTACATGTGGGAGACCTGGAAGAAGCTCCTGGCTCCTGGCTTCGGATCAGCTCAGCTCTGGCCATTGTGGTTATTTGGGGAGTGAACCAGCAGAATTTAAAACCTCTCTCTCTCTGGCCGGCGCCGCGGCTCACTAGGCTAATCCTCCACCTTGCGGCGCCGGCACACCAGGTTCTAGTCCCGGTCGGGGCGCCGGATTCTGTCCCGGTTGCCCCTCTTCCAGGCCAGCTCTCTGCTGTGGCCCGGGAGTGCAGTGGAGGATGGCCCAAGTGCTTGGGCCCTGCACCCCATGGGAGACCAGGAGAAGCACCTGGCTCCTGCCATCGGATCAGCGCGGTGCGCCGGCTGCAGCGCGCTGGCCGCGGCGGCCATTGGAGGGTGAACCAACGGCAAAAGGAAGACCTTTCTCTCTGTCTCTTTCACTGTCCACTCTGCCTGTCAAAAAAACAAAAAACCAAACAAACAAAAAAAAACAAACCTCTCTCTCTCTCTGGTTCTACCTCTTTCTGTAACTTTATCTTTCAAATAAATAAAATAATTTTTGTAGGAAGCCATGGATTTGGAGTGTGCATTCACAGGGGTCCCAAGAGATCAAACCATAGAGACTTTAAGCATAGTAACTGAACTTTAGCTGGTTGCAGAAGGTCCTTTACCAATTAACTGATTAGCCTATAAACAACAAATTAAGTTACAACATTGACTAGCTGATTAACTAGGCTGTAGGCAATTCAGTTTTTTTGCAATGCTTCACTTCTGTTTTCCTATAAATGTTGTCTGACCATGCTGTTGATGTAGTTCTTTGAACTTGCTCTGGTTCAGGAAGCTGCCCAATTTCCAAATTTTTGTTTTGTTTTGTTTTGCTCAAATAAACTCTACTAACTTTATTTGGTCTCAGGAATTCTCCCCTCTAACAGGGTAAAATTTCCCAGAGTACCACATCTAAGAGCCTTCAGGATTTTGTGACCCACATTACCACTCTATTATCTTCAGCATCAGATAAGCCATCAAGCTTAAGTCCTACCAGATATGATACCACACTCATAAATCAATGCTGATTTAAATTTAGATTCTAAATTTAGAACATACAATTAAAGAAACTAAGATAATAAAATGCAATTATAACACTGATAAATTTAACATTGAAAATTTTACTTTCAATTGTTAAACAAATTAACACAAAAGAAAGTTTTAAAGAAGAAGTTTTAGAGTCAGAATTAGCTAAATTACATAGAATCTCAAGCTATATAATATATTATTTATTTATTCCTTTTTTTTTTTTTTTTTTTTACTTTATTTGAAAGAGTTACAGAGAAGCTGGCGCCGCGGCTCACTAGGCTAATCCTCCGCCTAGCGGCGCCAGCACACCGGGTTCTAGTCCTGGTCGGGGCGCCAGATTCTGTCCCGGTTGCCCCTCTTCCAGGCCAGCTCTCTGCTGTGGCCAGGGAGTGCAGTGGAGGATGGCCCAAGTCCTTGGGCCCTGCACCCCATGGGAGACCAGGAGAAGCATCTGGCTCCTGCCATCGGATCAGCGCGGTGCACTAGCCGCAGCACGCTGGAAGTGGCGGCCATTGGAGGGTGAACAAACAGCAAAGGAAGACCTTTCTGTCTGTCTCTCTCTCTCACTGTCTACTCTGCCTGTCAAAAAAGAAAAAGAAAAAGAAAGAGTTAGAGAGAGAGAGAGAGAGAGAGAGAGAGAGGTCCTCCATCTGCTGGTTCACTCCCCAAATGGCCACAACAGCCAGAACTGAGCCAATCAGAAGTCAGGAGCCAGGAGCTTCCTCCAGATCTCCCATGTGCATGCAGAGGCCCAAGGATTTGGGCCATCCTCCGCTGCTTTCCCAGGCACATTAACATTTTCCCATGGATCAGAAGTGGAGTAGCTGGAACTTGAACCAGCACCCAGGTGGGATGCCGGCACTGCAGGCCAGGGCTTTAACCCGCTGCACCACAGTGCCGGCCCCTATATTATTTCAAATTTTTTTTGGTGACCACAAGAAAGGAAATTTTAAACAACTTATTTGTGGCTCAAAGAATATTAAAAAATTTCCTATAAAAATGAGTAAAATCCTATTTTCCATATGTAATTAGGGGTTAAAACTGTTTTTAAGAAACCATTCCACAGTCCATGGTGACGTGCTTATAAGAAAGAAGAAATGGACAGAGATTAGGATATAAATGTAATTTAAATTGTTAAAAGTGACAGATAGGAACACAGTATCACTATGTTCCTAACTATATATATGAAACACATGAAACTTGTATAACTTAAATGAAACTAAATAAAAAAAGTGATAGCTAGGGGGCAGTGTTGTGGCATAGCAGGTTAAGCCACTGCCTGGGATGCTAACATCCCATATGGGTGCCAGTTCAAGACCCAGCTGCTCCACTTCCCATCCAGCTCCCTACTAATGCACCTGGGAAAGCAACGGAGGATGGCCTAAGTGCTTATAGGTTCCTCCAACCATGAGGCAGATCCAGAAGAACCTCTCGGCTTCTGGGGCATCAGCCTGGACCAGCCCCAGCCATTGCAGCCATTTGGGAAGTAAAACTCAAATGGAAGATATCTTTCTCTCTCTCTGTAACTCTTTCAAATAAAGAGTTAAATTAAATCTTTAAAAAAAAAAAAAGATAGCTGGCTGGCACCGCGGCTCAATAGGCTACTCCTCCACCTGTGGCGCCGGCACACCGGGTTCTAGTCCCGGTCGGGGCACCGGATTCTGTCCCAGTTGCCCCTCTTCCAGGCCAGCCCTCTGCTATGGCCTGGGAGTGCAGTGGAGGATGGCCCAAGTGCTTGGGCCTTGCACCCCATGGGAGACCAGGAGAAGCACCTGGCTCCTGCCTTTGGATCAGCGTGGTGCACTGGCCGCAGCGTGCGGGCTGCGGCAACCATTGGAGGGTGAACCAACGGCAAAAGGAAGACCTTTCTCTCTGTTTCTCTCTCTCACTGTCCACTCTGCCTGTCAAAAAAAAAAAAAAAAAAAGATAGCTAAATTTTATTACTGAGAGTTTGAGGAAAATTACAACATGTTCTTCAGGTTACTAGCCTAATACAGGTTAACAAAATTAAATGCAATCCCAATAGTACTTACTATCCTTCGGCAAAACAGTAATACTAATGCCAGGATCACTAAGTTTGATGAAAGGGGAGTTTCTCGTCTTCCTGTCTTCTTCTCTGATAAGTAGAATATTTTTGGCACACACATTCCCATGAATAAGGGTTTTTTCTTCCTATTAAAGTTAAATGTACAAATATCAATCCACAAATATTAGAGCATTTAAAATGATCAAAACATTAAAACAGATTATAAGAAGGTAGACATGTAAGATGGTAAAATAAATACTAATCGGGAGACATACTTAGGATAATAAAAGCAAATTTTATTACACTACTGTGTTTCCTGTTTTATACTTCAAATGACAAAATAATCTACTCATGATGAAATGAATGAATAAATTAAAATTAGCCAGTACCTCTTCATATTCTTAAGGTAAGATTCTAAATGGTATGTTTCTAGATAGTAGCTGACATTGAGAAAAATTATTGTGCTCTGATCACCAAGTAGCCCACTGGTGTTTTGCTTTTCTGTTAACACTGCTTTCTCATCAGACATAGTGGTCAAATGGCCACAAATATTGCAACAAAGTATTTTTCACTATTCATACCAGTATGTTTCTGCACGAATTCTGTTAAATTTTCTAAGCACAACCAGCACAAATTATAGACTGCCCATCAATAGTTCTAAGAGACTAATGGGATATCAAAACTGTTTCAAAGGTTATTTTGCCTCAAATCATTCCTTGTATCATCACATGCAAATTATTTAAAAGACCAAGCACTCATTTACAGATTTATTTCTTCTTGCCAGGTTAGGATAAATTCTATATTGCTTCACATGATAAAGCAATAAATTTTGATAAAGAATATACTAATTACTTACTAGAAAATGCATGGCCCATGCCAACTGTTTAGCCACTTCAAGTTTCCATAATATATTTATAGAATTTTTATTCTTTTTTAAATATGTATCTAGTGATCCAAATTTTACAAACTCCTGAACCAGAATATCTGCATTAAAATATAATAATAATAAAGCTCAAGTATACGTATAATAAAAATAAATAATTAAAATATACATGTATATTTATACTTATATAGAGGTATTATAAAGAAATAAAATTCACTAATAAACAAAGGATAGGTATACACCATCTATTTTCAGTTTTTAGCTCATTCACAACAGCAAGAGGTAGGAATCTAACATATATTATACAATATTATATACGATAAGAACTACTCTAGCACACCTGGAGAACACATCTAACACTAACGTGCAATCATTTCAATCAGTTCCATTAGAAATTCAGTCTATAATTTATATGCTTTTCTTCATAATTCCAAATGAATTTGTGGTGAAAGGGTCTGTTGCTACAATGTTATGTTGAACCAATTATAATTTATACTGCTATAGTGAACACAAAAGATTCTAAGACATTTGTTTACTATAATACTGTATGTTTGGGAATGAAAACAAGGCTTATTAACTGTCTCCTGCATTTTAACTTCATTAACTGGTTTGCTTTTGCACAAGATAAAAGTGGACAGTTCTAGAATGTTTTCAGTTTGAACAATATTTAACTCCTATTAAATATGGTTTATACTGACACCTTGTGATCCTGAAATTGAATTTTCTATAGAAACAACAATGGATTCTCTAAGAAAGGCATGATATTAACTTAAGAAAGCCAGTGGTTTTACTTACTCTCCTCTCCACACACACATACTCCATAATTTAAAACCAAATGTTTATGAGAAAGCTGGCTCATCATGCTTGCTGCTTCAAAGAAAGACTAAAGGAAAAGAAAAAAATGGAAAATAATAACTGATTGCTATCTATAAATATAATGGTTCAGAAACATATTCTCTGCCCTAAGAAAAATATATTTCCCCTATTCTTAGCAAGACAATAGATTACAGAACAAAATGCTTGTGTTTTCATATACGATCTTACAACTGCCATAAATCTTGATGTTAGGGCTTATCTTCAGGAAGCTGGAATATGGAGATAGTAATAGTAGAACAGTGCACTATGTAAGCCAAACAGGCATAGATGTGGGTATTTAGCCTACTGATTTAAGAGACTGGTTAAAACATCTATATCTCCTACTAGAGTACCTAGGTTCCACACCCTACTCTAGCTTATGATTCCAGCTTCCTCCGAATACAGATCCTGGGAGGCAGCAGTGATGGCACAAGCAGGGGTCTCCTGGTACCAATATGGAAGACATGGACTGAGTTCTGGTCTACCAGCTTTGGCCCAGCCCCAGCTACCGTGGGCATCTGATTTGCTCCTTTTGATTCTCACATAAATAAAAATTTAAAACCTAAAAAAAAAAAAAAATCAAAAAACCAACAAGCTTAGACCACGTAATACCTAGAACAGAGATACATAATAGAGATAGTGATATGAGACTGCTACAGATACAATTAAGCTTTAAACAAGATTTTCTGAAGAATGAATAGTCTATGTAGAAAAAAAATATGACACCTATTCAGCATAGTGTCATGATCTAAACATCACCCTAACTCAACTAATTTTTGGGTGTTTCTTCAGAAGATCATGTTCACCAATACTGTGGGGATCTGGATTAGAATAAACTCAAGGGCCAGCACTGTGGCACAGTGGGTTAAAGCCCCAGTCTGCAATGCCGGCATCCCATATGAGCACCGGTTCAAGTCCTGGATGCTCCACTTCCAATCCAGCTCTCTGCTATGGCCTGGGAAAGCAGTAGAAGATGACCCAAGTCCTTGGGCCCCTGCACCCACATGGGAGACCCAGAGGAAGCTCCTGGTTCCTGGCTTCAGATCGACCCAGCTCCTGCCTTTGTGGCCATTTGGGGAGTGAACCAGTGGATGGAAGACTTCTCTCTCTCTCTCTTCCTCTCTCTCTCTCTCTGCCTCTCTGTAACTCTGACTTTCAAATAAATAAATAAATCTTTAAAAAAAAAAGAAGAAACTCATTAGCTTGTATGTTTTACAGTGACTTCCAATAACACCCTTTAAAACATTCTAGGTATCTTAAATGTGTATTTCGTCATGTTTGCTGGTATCTTCCTATACTCAGGGTTCTGTCAACTGGTTGCTGGGTTTCTACTAGATATCATTCCTCAATGATGCCCAGAGATATCCTTATTTCACTCAAGAGTGTTCCTTAGTAGAGTGCCTTTCAATCTTTTTTTAAGTAGATAAAATTGTGCAGGAACTTCTATGGGACTCATAAGGCTCTGGAGGACTAAGTTTGAAAACCCCTGCTTAGGATATGAACAGATATAACAATAGCCATAACACAATGCTAAAATTAAATGGGATTAAGTTATTATTTTTAAAAGCCTTGGATTTCTTTAGCCTCACCAGAATACAACTTTAGACAGATATTTGAAATAAACTCACTAGCAATATGTCATCTGCATGCAAGTAGATGTTTTTAAATAGCATAAACTACACGTACTATACACACACACACACACAAACCCATACACACCTCTGAATAGTTTCTATGTGCTTTATCCAGGACTTTTAAAAGAACTTCTGTTTCATGTAGTTGACCATAGTCTCCTACTTCTCTTCTTATACCTTTAAAAATTTTTGTAAAAGTACCTTGGCCAAGACTTTCATTCTTTAAAAGAAAAAGGTAAGAGAAAAGAATGAGCAAAGAAGAAGAAAGACATGGGAATTACAGTTCCTTGTTTATTTTTAATACTTTTAATTTCCTTAATTTTCTTAAAAATTTGAGAGTTAACATATAGTTGTTTGCAGGAAAAGATTTTTAATTTTTAATTAAGATTTGTAAAGAATTATTTTCAAATTTCTGAAAAGAGATTATAATCCTATTATTAAAATAATTTTTTGTTGATTTCTAACATGAGATTGTTATATTTTTCATAAGAAATAAAATATAGAAATTACATACAAATTTTTATAATAGTTTATAACAAAACAGTTTCAAATGTGACATGAACAATAATGTGGGGTAAAAAACAAGAAAGGAAATACTATATTATAAGGACAAAGAAGACAATAATCAGTATTAGTGACTTACGAATATCAAATCTTCATTTCTGATTTTGTGAAACACCATTTGGTTGACATTATTATGCCTCTGTAAAGTTGGTGAGAGCGGTACATCAGAAACACCATTGGTTCTGAAGACTAGAAGATTTGACTTATCTGAAAAAAACAGTAAAATGCATATAATTTGTATGTATGCATGAAAGAGTACAAGAGTACTTCAAAAGATTCATGGAAAATGGAATTAAAAGGTAAATTTATTTAAGTACAAAAATTTTTCTGAAATCCATGCACACAAAGGATCTTTAAAAGCACTATAAAAATGTGTATTTTGAGAAATCTATGTATGGATTTCAAAATTTTTGCACCAAAATAAATGCCTTATAAATTCATTTTCCATAAACTTATTGAAGTACCCACATGCATGTACATGTTTCATAAAAACCCACTGACAGTATGAACTGCTCCAAATAATAATCATTTCTTGTTAATTTATTTCAGAGAAAAATGTTTTAGGGATTTATTCACTGAACTATGATGTATTCTTACCAATACTTTCATATGCTCAAAATAATAATCATTTCCTTAACAATTTTTTCAAGACTTAGTAATTTTTAATAAAATTTATTATTGGGGCCAGCGCTGTGGCACAGTGGGTTAATGCTCTAACCTGAAGCACCAAGATCCCGTATGGGTGCCAGTTCGACACCCAGCTGCTCCACTTCTGAACCAGCTCTCTGCTATGGCTTGGGAAAGCAGCAGAAGATGGCCCAAGTCTTTGGGCCCCTGCACCCACATGGGAGACCTGGAAGAAGCTCCTGGCTCCTGGCTTCAGAATGGCACAGCTCCAGCCATTGCGGCCAATTGGGGAGTGAACCATCGGATGGAAGACCTCTCTCTCTCTCTCTCTGTAACTCTGACTTTCAAATAAATAAATATATCTTTAAAAAATAAAGTTTATTATTTCAAGGGATTTCCAATGTTACTATATATTTTTATAAGATTTTATTTATTTATTTATTTATTTATTAGAAAGGCAGAGTTACAGAGAGAGAAGGAGAGACAAAGAGAGATATCTTCCATCTGCTGGTTCACTCCCCAAATGGTCACAACAGACAGGGCTGGACCAGGCCAAAACCAGGAGCCAGGACTTCTTCTGGTTATCCCACGTGGATTCAGGGGCCCAAAGATTTGAGTCATCTTCTGCTGCTTTCCCATGTACATCAGCAGGGAGCTATATCAGAAGCCGAGGCAGCCGGGACATGAACCAGTGCTAATATGGGATGCTGGCACTATAGATGGTAGCTTAACCAAATGTACTACAGCGCTGGCCCCACTCTTTATTTTTAAAACACCAAAACTAAAATCCCAAAAGCACATGAAAGTTTTTACTGAAAGCAAAAAATGAGAATCTGAAGACCTCCCAGTTCAATAAATACGTGACTGATTTATACTAAGCAATTATCATCTTTAATCAGTCCTTATGGCATTCAGATCTGGCTAAAAAGCCCATGAGAGCATTTCAGGCATGGAAGGCCAAGATACTGTGGCAAAAAGTGACCTACATGAAAGATGTCTGTGAGTGAGATCCCAATGCAAAGAAGGGGCCATCAAAAAAGGAGGTATCTTTCTCTGAAGAGAGGAAAGAACTTCCACTTTGATTATGGTCCTGTCTAAATGATGTTGGAGTTTGTGAACTCTAAAGGCTTCCATAGCCTTCGCAGATCATGACAAGACCCTCGGGCGAACACTGACTTCATAAATAAGAGTGTAAATGGTTAAATCAACAACAAAAGTCACTGTGCACTTGCTCCCTATGTACGACCTCTTTCCTAATGAGTTGTACTACAATAATTAATGGTAAAACTAGTCTTCAAACAGTCCTTTATACTTTGTGTGCCTGTGTGGTGCAAACTATTGAAATCTTTATTTAGTATAGAGTTGATCTGTATATAGATAATTTTTTTTAACTTTTATTTAATGAATATAAATTTCCAAAGTACAGCTTATGGATTATAATGGCTTCCCCCCCATAACGTCCCTCCCACCCGCAACTCTCCCCTTTCCCGTTCCCTCTCCCCTTCCATTCACATCAAGATTCATTTTTGATTCTCTTTATATACAGAAGATCAGTTTAGCATACATTAAGTAAAGATTTCAACAGTTTGCTCCCACACAGAAACATAAAGTGAAAAATACTGTTTGAGTACTAGTTATAGCATTAAATCTCAATGTACAGCACATTAAGGACAGAGAGCCCACATGAGGAGTGAGTGCACAGTGACTCCTGTTGTTGACTTTACAAATTGACACTCTTGTTTATGGCATCAGTAATCACCCTAGGCTCTTGTCATGAGCTGCCAAGGCTATGGAAGCCCCCTGAGTTCACTGACTCTGATCATATTTAGACAAGGCCATGGTCAAAGTGGAAGTTCTCTCCTCCCTTCAGAGAAAGGTACCTCCTTCTTTGATGACCTGTTCTTTCCACTGGGATCTCACTCACGGAGATCTTTCATTTAGGTTTTTTGTTTTTGTTTTTTGTTTTTTTGTTTTTTGTTTTTTTTTCCCCCAGAGTGTGTTGGCTTTCCATGCCTGAAATACTCTCATGGGCTTTTCAGCCGGATCCACATGCCTTAAGGGCTGATTCTGAGGCCAGAGTGCTGTTTAGGACATCTGCCATTCCAGGGGTCTGCTGTGTATCTCACTTCCCATGTTGGATCGTTCTCTCCCTTTTTTATTCTATCAGCTAGTATTTGCAGACACTATTCTTGTTTATATGATCCCTTTGGTTCTTAGTCCTATCATTATGATAAATTGTGAACAGAAATTGATCACTGGGACTAGTGAGATGGCATTGGTACATGCCACCTTGATGGGATTGAATTCGAATCCCCTGGTATGTTTCTAACTCTACCGTTTGAGGTAAGTCAGCTTGAGCATGTCCCGAATTGCGCATCTCTTCCCTCTCTTATTCCCACTCTTATATTTAACAGCGATCACTTTTCAGTTAAGTTTCAGCACTTAAGAAGAATTGCGTATTGATTACAGTATTCAACCAAAAGTATTAAGTAGAACAAACAAACAAAAATACTTAATACTACATATTAAGTTGCTCATCAACAGTCAGGGTGAGGGCTGATCAAGTCACCATTTCTCATAGTGTTCATTTCACTTTAACAGGTTTCCTTTTTGGTGCTCAGTTAGTTGTCACCTATCAGGGAGAACATATGGTATTTGTCCCTTTGGGATTGGCTTATTTCACTCAGCATAATGTTTTCCAAATTCCTAACAGGGATCACTTTTCAGTTAAAATTTAAACACCTAAGAATAATTGTGTGTTAATTACAGAGTTCAACCAATGGTACTAGAACAAAAAAAATACTAAAATGGATAAAGTATTACATTGTACATCAACCGTCAGGACAAGAGCTGATCGAGTCACTGTTTCTCATAGTGTCCTGCTGAGTGAATTAAGCCAGTCCCAAAGGGACAAATATCGTATGTTCTCCCTGATCAGCGACAACTAACTGAGCACCAAAAGGGGAAACTTGTTGAAGTGAAATGGACACTATGATCTGTATATAGATAATTAAAAATGAATCTTATTGAAGAATGGGATGGAAGAAGGAGTAGGAGGTGGATAGTTTGGGGGTAGGAGAGCAGGTATGGGGGGAAGAACCGCTATAATACAAAAAGTGTACTTATAAAATTTATATTTGTAGGATCTCTGTCCTTAATGTGCTGTACATTGAGACTTAATGCTATAATGAGTACTCAAACAGTATATTTCGCTTTGTGTTTCTATGGGGGTGCAAACTATTGAAATCTTTACTTAAGGTATACTAAACTGATCTTCTGTAAAAAAAAAAAAAATAAAAGAAGAAGAAGAAATTATCAATTCCCAACTTGACTCTCACTGGGATTAAACATGACAATAGGTCTGATCTGATTTCATCATCATTTAAAAAATCATCTATTATTTTTCACTTTATGTTTGTGTGGGAGCAAACTGTTGAAATCTTTACTTAATGTATGCTAAACTGATCTTCTGTATATAAAGAGAATCGAAAATGAATCCTCATGTGAATGGAAGGGGAGAGGGAGTGGGAAAAGGGAGGGATGCAGGTGGGAGAGACGATATGGGGGGAAGCCATTGTAATCCATAAGCCGTACTTTGGAAATTTATATTCATTAAATAAAAGTTAAAAAAATTTATATTTGTTAAATAAAAGCTTTATAAAATTTATCATCTTTAAAATGTCATTTTAGCATAAAAGAAGAAATCACTAAACTGTTCAGTCTATCTGTATGAAAAGACTAATTTGCTTTTGGAGCTGTTTCTTTCATATTTCTTTTGAAATCAAGGTGCTGAAGATAACTCCTACCACAAATACAATACAAAATTTTTAAGACAAAAAAATCTCACCCTTTGGCTTTGGGGGGCAGCACTTAGTAAACTGGAAAATTATACTGTCTGAGCGAACAGTTTCCATCTGGTAGCAATTCAGAAGATCTTTAAGATTACTGAAGTTCTTCTTAGTCCCACTGAGGTTATACTCTCCATTCTCATTTTTGGTAATCAAACAGTGTTTATATTCAATGACATTTTCTCTCTACGTAAGTTTAATTATAAAGAGAAGAGAAAAATCACAATGGCATCATAATGATTATTCTGACAAAAGGGCTATCATAGAAACAACCAGAAAATATTTAGACATTCGAATTGCGAAACCTAATATAATGATGGTATAGTGACAGAGGTGGCTTGGTTCCTCAAAAACTTATCGAATTAACAATTTTGTAGCCTACAGAAGTGGCTCAAGAATTATTTTATTAAAAGGAAAGCAAGAAAGCCATAACAACAACAATATTATCCTTAATAGCTTTCCATTATTTATAAAATAGTCTAAAACTAGCATAGGATATGGGCCTTCCATAAACTCCTTTCACCCTCTACCTGAAAACTCAGCCCCTGCCACTCTCAACATAAAATCTATCTTGCATCCATATTAAATGATTTAAGGGGCCGGCACCATGGCACACTAGGTTAATCCTCCACTGCGACACCAGCATCCATATGGGTGCCGGGTTCTAGTCCCAGTTGCTCCTCTTCCAGTCCAGCTTTCTGCTGTGGCCTAAGTAGGCAGTGGAGGATGGCCCAAGTGCTTGGGCCCCTGCACCTGCATGGGAGACCAGGAAGAGGCACCTGCTTCCTGACTTCAGATTGGCATAGCTCCGGCCATTGCACCCATTTGGGGAGTGAACCAACGGAAGGAAGACCTTTCTCTCTGTTTCTCTCTTGCTGTCTGTAACTCTACCTGTCAAATAAATAAATAAAAATCTTTAAAAAAATTAAAAACAATAAATGATTTAAATAATTTCAAGCAAATGCCTTACCACTTCATACCTTAATAACTACACACATTCTTTCTCTATCTGTGAGTATTCTCATTCCTTAAAACGCAGTTTAAGTACCCTTTTTTCTGAGTCCTCTCCAACAATACTTATTCCATCCATAAAAGTTAATAGCTGTTCTGCAGCACCAGTATTATATTTGTATAATTATTCTGTAGTATGGCACTTTAAAACATTTTATGGACTTTTAACATCTGTCTTATGCACTATGAACCTGTTCATCCATCTACTTTTTGAGCTGCTTTTTGTAAACATATTATTCCTACTTAAAGCCATTTATAAAAAAAAATTTTTTTCAATAGCCCTATATCAAGTCCTTCCTACTCCAAAAGTGTTTCTTAAAAATCATCTACATTTGTCTATACTAGGTACTAACAATGCTCAATTCAATAATTTTTGGTATACTTTTAAATTTTTATTTTTCTGAAAGATAAATTTCTTGACATTAGAACATTATTATAGCATATACCTTTCATATTAGCTTGTTATAGTAAATACTAAGCATTTTTTATTTAATAATTGAATAATGAACTTTTAAATATATATATGATAATAGTAAGAAGATACTGTGAAACTAGCATAGATCATCAATTTTATATAACAATACAATGATGGAGTAACCTACCTTCTATATTTACAGGTGATCAATCCATTGTCTATATATGCTAAGTGTAAGATGTTGCTTTTATAGAAATTTAAAGTAATTCAATGGCAAAATCCTTAAATTCTCCAATTTCAAAAAGAAATTTGGAAGCTGCTATAAAATTTCTTCAGATTTACACAATGATAGTATCTTTTTCGATAATTCTGAGTATAAAATAATCTCAGAAGAGATCCAAAGTGATTAGTGTTAATAGTGGTTGTATTTGTTGCAATTTTACACTTGTAAGTATATATTGTAAGTCATTAATAATATTGGAAAAATCACTAATGAAAAGTGCTATAATGTTTCTATTTGTTATTACCCTATTTTTCTCCAATTAAGAATCACTACTAGTAAACAGAAAATTGTTTCTGATTTATTTTGTTCTACATTATTTGGTAAAGGCTTCCATTTCTGTGAAAAAGTAGACTTCAAAAGATTTGATGAAATACCATTAGACTCTCTGGTAACAAACATCAAAAAATGAATGTCAAATAAAAATCTAGAAAGACATTATAAATTATTTTATATAAACCCTATGAATTAAATATTATTTATTTGTATAGAATCCTTGAGGTAAATTGAGTATTAAGCTAGTTATCTTAGTTCAGAGCCATAACTTTTAGTAGAAAGGAAATACTATCATAGATTAAATATGAAGAGGAAAGTATATGTACTAAAAAAAGGGGTTACCATTAATAAATGTGATATACTAACCTCAACAGCGAAGGTCAGAAAATATTTATTAAAGTCCTTAGGACTGCATCGAAGTACATATAGTCCAGTCTGATTACCTGCTTTCTTCAGCTTACTGATGGCAAAATCCATTCTAAAGGCAAAGAAGTAATCTGAATAACAATCTAGTAAACACCATGGCATTATGACCAAATGCCATCTAAAAAAATCACGAGTCAAATCTAAAACTCAGAATTTTTAGAAGTCTTATCTAGTTCATGTTTATTATGATAAATTTCAAGGCAAAAAAAAAATAAAGAACCAAGCTATTTTTCAATAGATTAAAGTTAATTTAGGGGGCAAATAATTTACTTTAAAAACACATAAACGTTATTATAAATCAAAAAAAAATCACAAAGAAACTTAATTCACATATCTGCCTTCTGTATAAAATCTAAAAACCATACTCACTCTCCAAAAAATTTAATTTAACTATCAAATAGAAAATACTGGTTTATATGTCTCTTCCAATGAGATACAAATTCATGTTCATTATTTAGTATAATACTAAAATCTAATAGAAGACCCATGATAAATGGCCAGAGACTACTGGCTTTTAAAATATACTCAGTGGAGGCCGGTGCTGTGGAGCAGCAGGTAAAGCCCTGGCCTGACGTGCCGGCATCCCACATGGGCGCCGGTTCGAGTCCCGACTGTTCCTCTTCCAGTCCAGCTCTCTGCTATAGCCTGGGAAAGCAGTAGAAGATGGCCCAAATTCTTGGGCCCCTGCACCCGCGTGGGAGACCAGGAAGAAGCTCCTGGCTCCTGGCTTCAGACTGGCGCAGCTCCAGCCATTGCAACCATCTGAGGAATGAACCATTGGAGGAAGACCTCTCTCTCTCTCTCTCTGCTTTCTTCTCCTCTCTCTGTGTAACGCTGACTTTCAAATAAATAAATAAATAAAAAGGAAAAAGAAAGATGAAAGAGATGAAAGGGAGGGGGGAAGAGATATAATATTCTTAGAACTGTCCTATGAACTGTTCTGAATATGTTCTCTTTTAATTAATATTAACATGAAAAAATGTTTTAAAATAAGGACAATGGAAAAAATTCAGTTTCTCAGTGGCACTAGCCACATTTCAAATGCTAAACAGCCACATGTGTACTGCATTAAATGCAGTTACAGAATATTGTCATCACTGCAGAAAACTGTATTGCCCCCAAATAATGAGAATTTGCAAATCATGCAATGTGGCTCCTCCACCTATATTGAAATCAATAAAACATAAACTTGAGGTCCTTATGAAGTAACAGCTAAGAGTTATTTAAGCATGCATAAACAACTAAACATGGACCAGTTGCATGTATTATACACTAGGACACAGATGGTAAATTATATCCTAAATAATTTAATTATTATGTTATCTGACTTATGCTAACAGAGTTTTGTTTTTAAAAAATTTTCAGTCACATTATGGTAATATTCTTTTCCTAAATGCCTATATACAATTACATATTACATGCATTACTCTATTGTATAAAATCTTATATCATTGTCCCTCAACATCTACAGGGAATTGATTTCAGAACTCCCAGCTGACATCAAAGTCCATGGATGTTCAAGTCTTCATATAAGATGATATAGCCTCTGCACTTAACCAATAGCTATCCTTCCATATAGTTTTAATAATATCTAGATTACCTATAAAACCTAATGCAATAAATACTATGGAAACAATTGCCTTACTATATTATTTGAAAGCATTTAGGTAATAATAGGTAATAATTTAAAAAGTGGGTACATATTCAGTACAGACACAAAATTTTTTTAAGTATTTTCCATCTGCAGTTGATTGAATCTACTGATGTGGAAACTGTGGATATGGAGGTTCAACTACATATCTCTTACTTTTAAAAACATTACTTTTAAAGTCTGTATTACTTACGAAATCGGGCCATGACAGTTGCTTTGTATATTTTCAAGCACTGTTGGAGGAGCTACTTCTTTACAGAGGTAATGATGTGCATCTGCAGTTAATCTATAATATCCATCAATTAACGACACAAAAGACAAAGCTTCCTTTAATGAGCTAAGTTCAATTTCCTAAGCAGAGAAAGCAAAAAGGAAACCATATGTATCATTTAAAAGTCAACTACATGCTTCTTCATTTCCTGTTGTTACAGTAATTTTTTACTAATTTTCTTCTAAATCACTCACATATTTTAAAGCTCTCAATTACCCAATGTGAATTATAAATTCTTTTGTCTGATATTTAAGATCATCTCAAATATGGGCTTATCATGCCTTACCAGATATAGTTCACTATACATCCATAATTTTACTGTGTTTTCCAATACTCGTAATTAGACTAACATTGCAATTAAGTATCTCAATTATAAATTTATTTAATCTAAAAGTATTAATTAGATATCATGAGTATTTATTTTTATATACCATTACACACTACTGAAGTAAAATACTTAGACTAAAATGTTAGGATACATGGCTATGTTATGATTGTATCATCATATATACATATGTGCAAACATACTCACATGTGAATATTTAATGCAGCATGTTACTGAATGAAAAAACTGTAAGGATATGGTAAGGATATTAAAAAATGGAACCCTGTGCACTGCTACTGGATGAAAGGGGTGTGACCATGACAGAAAGCAGTATGGCAGTTCTTCAAAAAATTACAAATAGAATTACCCATGATCCAGCAATTCTACTTCTGGGTATCTATCCAAGAAAAATTAAAGCAGAGTCTCAAAGAGACATCTGTTTTTACCCACATTCTGAGAAATATTTTCATGGTAGCCAAAAAGGATGGATGCAACCCAAATGTTCATGCAGGGATGAATGGCTAAGCAAATGCATATATTAAAAAGGAAATGCTGGTACATACTATAACATGGGTGAATCTTGAGTACATTATGCTAAGTGAAAAAGCCAGTCACAAAAAGACAGTATTGCATGATTCCACTTATATGAGGTATCTAGAGTAGTCAAAGTCAGAGAGTAGTGTGAAAGTTCCAAGGACTAGAGGAGGGGGAAATGGAGAGTTGTCATTTACTGGGTATTGAGATTCAGTGTCGCAAGATAAAAGAAGTCCTGGAGAATAGATGCACAGCAATGTGAATAAACTTAATACTACCAAAGTGCACATTTAGAAATGGTTAAGATAGGGGCCAGCATTGTGGTTTAGCAAGTAAAGCTAGAGTTCACTCTGCAAGACGCAAGCACACATGCAAACACAATCCTCATGCTCAAGAAGCCCTATTGGGTAAGAAGTCTAGGCAGCAGGTGTACACTATCATAATTATAAAACAGGAAAGTGTGCTGAATAAAATGAGTTTCAGATCAGTTATAATTTTAGTAATGTAACTGAAAAGGGCAGAAAGGTAAGCCATATAGATACTTAAGATAAATGAACATAACATTAATAGGATGTTTAAGCCAGGAGGTCACAAAACATTTGAGAGAAAAAGAAAACAGGGATGAGTGTTTGGCACAACAGTTAAGACTCTGCTTAGGATGCATAGGTTTGAGTCCTCGCTGTACTCTCAATTCCAGTTTCCTGCTAATGTGTACTCAGGCAGCAGGTGATGGTAATGTCTCAACTACTTGGATCCTGCCATCTACATGTGAGATCCAAATGATTCCAGGCTTGCCCAGTTCTGGCTATTGCAGTCATTGGGAAGTGAACCAGCTGGATGGGAGTTCCCTGTCTGAATCTCTGAATCTTTCTCTCACTGTGTGTATTATGTCTTACCTCTCAATAAATAAAAAATAAATTTACAAAAAAGAGAAAGAGAACAGAACCGGATAAATAAGACAGAACAGAGTATAAAGACATTAATTTGTTTCCATTTAATTAAAATGGATGGGATTTCTGAAACTATGTAAAGAAAAAGGATTAACTTTTCGGAATCAACCACGTCTTATCGTTTAGGTGGGGCCAACCTGGGATTGGTGTACATTTTGTTATAGAAGTTTCATATAACATTGCTTTGATGAATTTTTCTCCTTTAATTGGAGAATATAACTGGTGTTATACATAAATTTATTCATAAGAAAGTTTTTCGTCAGGAATGAGCAGGGAACTGGCACAACCAAGACTGTAGGGGAGTAACTGGTGCGCTGGCAATCATAAAAATGAGTGACAAATATCTGTGGGAAAATGGTACTGATAGTACTATAAAAAGTGTGATGGAATTAAAAAGTTCACTGATCTGATGTATACATTTAGAGCTATATTTAACGACTAGATCAAAATTCCTAAGACAAAGTAACTTTGGTGTTAAGTTTCTGAAATACTTGTTTCTGAAAAATGTAAAATGTACTCAGTATTTAATCATAAAACAAACTTACCAAATTTTTACCATCTTGCTTATGAATAGTTACAACTCTGCTTTCATTTGCACCTTCTTGGTTTGCTTGCTTAATACTGACATCAATAATATCAGGAAAATCACAATATAACTGTAAATCCTATAATCAAAAGCATTTGAAATTAAAAAGTTGGAATTTGAGAGGCCATTTTAAAACAAGACTAATGAAGCAAAGAACAATCATTTCAAATTTCTTAAAATAAAGAATTGATAACAAAAAGGTATTCATTAACAATAAACATTAAATGTGATTCCCTCCAAAACTCCAACCCTAAGACTATACTATATCTTCCGATGACTTAAAAATGAGAACATTGAAGGATATCAGGAATCTAAAATTTGTTATATTACTTTTCAACTCAATTAACATTAATAGGAATCATTGTTATAAAATTGGAATTTTAACAACTAAAGACAAAAAATAAAATCATGCTTTAAATCTATAATAACAATCTAAGAATACAGATACAAATAAATTCAAAACTTGCAATACAAACCTAAAAATACAGGCATATTAAAATTTAATCATTTATATTTAGTTAACTTTATTACTATGTCTCCCATTATAAATAGTGAAAGAAAAAGAGGAAAAACTACCTTAAGAATCAGTTTTATAATTCGTCCTTTTCTGAAACTGTAAGAAAGCTATTACTAATTATTTTATCACAAAAATGAAATTTAAAAAAAAAACTGAGAACAAGGAAAGAACTTTAGAAAAACTATCAGTGGGAAAAGCACAATTCCAGGTTTCAAATGACTAAAATTACTTTGTTTCTATTGCCATTCTACTTAAATAATAAAGAATGAGAACATATCATTAAGGATTACCTGTTCTGTCAGTGTCTCACTTTCTTTATGTTTCCCTCTTGACCACTGAATTCCACCGTTTCCAGTTATTATAATGGTTGCAAAAATCTCCTCACCTGAAGGACCTCTTCCAGGTTCTTTTACTTCAAACTGCTCTGTGTAGAAGGCAGACTGAAGAGTTTCCAGATTTATAAGATACTTAAGTTTCAAGTTTCTGGCAGTGGCTTTACACTGGCTGAACTGCTGGATAAATCTGCGAAATCTATACCTTATTCGCTTCCTTGTCAAAATATGATAATCTTGGATCTTTGCTCGAACACATTTTGGTAAGAATGTCTTGTAGCTAGGGATAAAGAGCACACACAGAAACAGAAGTTGGAAGATAAATCTAAACAAATTTGAAAGAGAAGTTACCACTTTTTTCCAAGATACACACATGCTACAACATAGCAGTCAAAAGGAGTAAGTTGATATAACTACCATTCAAAGCATATAAATCCTTAACATTTCATTTGATGATATGAAAACATATACATACTTTCTGATTTCCAATAAATATTTAAAATAAATGTTAATTTTCTTCTCTAATGAAATAAAGTCTAGTTAACAGTAAAGTCTCTACAAAACTGTATTTTCTCTGATTATCTTGTATACCAGAGATAACAGATTATAAGGTAAATTTTTTTGGCACTTCATGAACTGTGCTGCAAATGATTCCTATAATGTGACACTCCAAAATTTATCTGAATTCTAAAAACTGTTATTTTGCTGGATACTATAGTTCATTATAAATACATACTTTATTCATATATATTTTGTTAGGTCAGCTTCAAAAAGTCCTCATAATTCCTTTGTAATCAAACGATTCCACTTAGAAATGTCCTGACTCTACTATTCTTTCATTTCCATGTATATCCTAAAGAAGGTACATGGTTAATTTCTCTGCTGAAGAACATTCTACTACTGACATACATGACATAAGAATTCCATGCCTTCACACATGCTGATCTTTCTTCCTATCACCCATCTCCTATCTGGTTAGCTCTTACTCATTCTATAAGTCTCAGCTCAATTGTCACCAAGTCCAGAAATCCCTTCTGGACCTCTTTTCATAACTACATTAGATGATCCTGCCTGTGTTCTCATACTATTCTGTGTACTACTTCCTACTATCACTTATGACCATCATCCTGTACTTGTTTATGTACTACCAGTGTATTCTGGAGCTAGCTTAGGCTGAATACCAATTATTATATTTTAGTAATTTTTTTATCATTAAAAGTTGCTACATAAATTCATGATAAAATAAATAATATTAAAAATGTCAGTAATACACAAATAAAAACTAATAATTTCTTAACTATTTTATATTTCACATTTTCAATTAAGATTTTTACATGTTTTATTTTGATTTGCATTCTACTACTATCTCTACCTTTGAGGTTATTTATATCTATCACATGTGAAAAGTCATATGGGCTTGTTATTATTCCTCTCCTAATTCTGCATTCAGTAACAAACACCATGAGACTGGCCAACATGGAGTTAGCATTAAAACCATGGATACTGGGGCCAGTGTCAGGGCATAGTGGGATAAAGCACACCCTGTGACACCAGCATTACATATGGGAGCCAATGCAAGACACAGCTGGGTATGCTATGGGTCCCAAGATAGCAGTATAGCAACAGAATGATCCCAGTCATGCAGGGCAAAAGAGACAGTTAAAAAGGAGAGAAGACAGGGCTGGTGCCGCGGCTCACTAGGCTAATCCTCCGCCTTGCGGCACCAGCACACCGGGTTCTAGTCCCAGTCAGGGCGCCGGATTCTGTCCCGGTTGCCCCTCTTCCAGGCCAGCTCTCTGCCGTGGCCCGGGAGTGCAGTGGAGGACGGCCCAAGTGCTTGGGCCCTGCACCCCATGGGAGACCAGGAGAAGCATCTGGCTCCTGCCATCGGATCAGCGCGGTGCGCCAGCCGCAGTGCGCCAGCCGTGGCAGCCATTGGAGGGTGAACCAACAGCAAAAGGAAGACCTTTCTCTCTGTCTCTCTCTCTCTCACTGTCCATTCTGCCTGTCAAAAAAAAAAAAAAAAAGAGAGAGAGAGAGAGAGAAGACAAACGCCAGAGATAGAGCTGTGGGAAATTCAAGATGGGAAGCCCAGGAGACCAACAACGAATTGCTTGTGATGTTACATGCAGGAACAAAGAGTATAGAGGGACAAACAGAGAGGTCAGGCACCGCGCCCATCTCTGCCTCACTTCCAAACTATTTTAGACCTTCTCCAATTTCCTCAAATTTCCTACCTTTATTCTGCTTCAAATCTCAGCTACATTCCTCCTTATTTATAAGAAATGTGTTTATCTATATCCCAAAACTTAAGCCACATGTCCAATTAAACTGAAATGAAGAAAAAGTACCTAATACACACGCAAGGAGTATAAGCATATGTATACAACGGAACACACGCATAGAAGAAAGTGTTCATAGACACAGATGTACCTAACACAGACACACATATAAAGTCACTCCTTACATGCATTTTTAACTTTAGCAAAGAGTATGAATTTAGTTACACTATTCAGAGATCCAGACCCTAAAGGATATTTCTGGAGACAAAGCTTATTTCATTCAGCCAAGAAATAATCACACATCTGTTCTCCTATCACTCCTAAATATTTTAACATTCAGTAGAGTTCCCTGATTATTTCTCAGAAATGAGGATCAAATGAGAATTCAGAAAACATCAGTGAATTAAATATGTGATACATCACAGGCAGGAACATTTTTGCTTCAGGACAGGAATAAAATTATTTGTCCAATATTAAGACAACATGGTACAGAGAATAAAAAATAAGCACATTAGACCTCAAACTTAAAACAGTTGTGCTACAAATGATACCTTCAAAAAAGTGGGGGGAAAAAAAAAAAAAACAATAAAAAAAGTGATCTACAGCTCTCTTGGCTTTAGCGCAATCTTCTTGGAAGCCTCCATGCCATGAGAGCCAAGTGGAGTAGGAGGCAAGTGCACAGGTTGAGCCCTAAGAGTGGAAGGATGACATAGAGGCATAAGTAGACCGCTGGTTTGTGTGCCCGTGATGGTCAAGGGAGAGGAAGAAAGAAGTGCCAGACGCCAGGATGCTGGTATAAGTTGTTACACTGCTTACAACTTGTCTCAAAAGATCTGAAACTTTCATTGCCAACAGATAACTGAAACCACCCATGAGACCCACTTTGCTGACACCAAAACAGTCCCTCATGGCCCTCTGCCCTGGGCCTGTGACATTCTGGACTATTCTGTTTTCTGTACTCAGTTCTGGCTAAGTGTTAACAAGTGTACAATAAATCATCTCTTCTGTCTTGGCCAAAGAATTTTTTAAAAAAGTTACATAATGGAAAATTTGAAATCATGTATATGATAACATAGCTAGAGACTGGTATTCAGAAGAATTCTTATAACTCAGTAATAAAAAGATATTAACCCAATTTTAAAATAGGCAAAATATCTGAATAAAAATTTCTCCAAATAAGACATACACATGAACAAATAAGCACAAGAAAAGATGCTAAACATCAGTGGTCATGAGAGAAATGCAAATAAAAACTATAGTGAAATATCACTTTCACCCACTATATTGGGTAAAACGGACAATAATAAGTGTTGGCAAAGTTGAAAGTCTCATGCATAGCTAGTAGAAATGTAAAATGGTAGAGCTGCTTCAGAAAAGTCTGTCAGTTATTCAAAATATTAAAACATAGAGTTGCCATATGAACCACAAATTCTACTGTGAGGTATAAACATAAGAAATGAAAATACTGGCCGGCGTCGCAGCTCACTAGGCTAATCCTCTGCCTGCGGCGCCAGCACACCGGGTTTCCCAGCTGGGGCGCCAGATTCTGTCCTGTTGCTTCTCTTCCAGTCCAGCTCTCTGCTGTGGCCCAGGAAAGCAGTGGAGGATGGCCCAAGTGCTTGGGCCCTGCACCCCCATGGGAGACCAGGAGGAAGCACCTGGCTCCTGGCTTTGGATTGGCACAGCGCTGGCCATAGCGGCCATTTGGGGGGTGAACCAATGGAAGGAAGACCTTTCTCTCTATCTCTCTATCTAACTCTGCCTGTCAAAAAAAAAAAATGAAAATACATGCCCATAAAATTGCTAATTCATAATTGTTCAGAGTAGCATTATTTACAGTAGTCAAAAGGTAGAAACAAATCAAATTTTCATCAAGCGGTGAATAAATAAACAAAATACGGTATAGCCATACAATGGAAAATGATTTGGTAATAAAAGGAAAGGGGTACTCATAACATGGTAGGACACAGACAGACCTTGAAAACATTACACAGAGTAAATAGATCAGACAGAAATTGATACCCTCTATGATTTCATTTATTTGAAATGTCTACAACTGACAAATCCACTGAGATAGATATTGGCTGATGTAAGCTGAGGGGAGGGGGACTGAGAATGCTAATGGATCTGGAGATCCTTTTATTTAGGAGAGATGAAAGTCTTTTAAACATTAGACTGCAGTCATCTTTATACAACTCTGTGAATATACTAAAAAATTTGACTTGTATAATTAAATGGGAAAATTTTATAATATGGTGAATTTTATCCCAGCAAGTTGTTTTAAAATATCAGGAAATCTTAAAATGAATGTTTTATATATAATATTCATAAATATATAGTTTTAAAGTAAACAAAGAAAAAGAATGATTAAAAATTTTGCAGTGAATAGCTTTGTGGCACAATGAGTTAAGCTGCTGCCAGTGATGCTGGCATCCCCTGTGAACACTGGTTTGAGTTGTGCTGCTCTACTTCCAATGAAAGTCCCTACTCAGGTGCCTGGGAAAACAGCAGAAAATGCATCAAGTACATGAGTCCTTATCGCCTATGGGGGGATCCCATAGAATTCCAGGCTCCAGACTTCTGCCTGGCCCAGCCCCAGCAATTATAACCATTTGGGCAACCAGAAGATGGAAGATCTCCATCTCTTTCATTCTCCCTCTCTCTCTAAACTCTGCCTTTCAAATAAATAAATCTTCGAAAAGAAAGAATTTTGCAGATGTAATTATATCCTGGTTAACAGAACTGATTAGGAGAATAAAGAGAAATACAATTACTAAGCATTCATTGAGTATAGCCCTGAACTAAAAAAAAAAATAAAAATAAGACTAATAAGTGACATGATTCCTGACCTCAAAGAAACCACAATCTACATAGAAAGATTGTGCCAAGACTTTGTCTTAGAAGCAGACATATTTCACCAAAGCATAAATCTAGATATGGTTTCAGATATATAACATTCATCTTCAGTAACTCAAAGCTTCTGTTCTTCAATTGCATT